GCAATAAAGAAAGCCTAAATAGGGCTCTCTTTACAGGAAGTGTTTATGGAAGGCTGTGCAAGTCACATGCAGGGAGGTGTGACTTGGGTTCATAAACAAAGGGATTTAACTCCTAAATGGCAGAGAATTGAGCAATGAGGCCGCAGGGGCATGTTCTATACACCAAAACTGCTTCATTAAGCTAAAGTTGTTCAGGTGACTATAGTGTCCCTTTAAAACACATAAAATCCCCATAAAAGTTACATCCCCTGATTTGGGTGACCAACATATCCACAAATCACCCAGATCAGTTCAGGGGTTCAAAAATTTTATGGAAGTCATAGTTTTTACTGACTGCTAGTATGGTCCCATAGCCGAAAATAGTTCCATAGAATCGCGGCTCAGTCCCCCTGAAGTCTATTCGTGGTTTTGGTCCATGCAAACAAGACGGCCGCCACCATGTGGTCGAATGGCACTTCGAAAGGCTTCGAGAGTTCGAAGTGCAACTTCAAAAGTTCCAATTGTTACAAGTCCCAACAGGCACAAATAGTGTTTTCAACCAACTGAAAAATGAAGGGAAAAAAAGGGGTGAACCATTAAGTAGGTGAACCCTTCTAAAGGTGAGTAACCCAATAAAATGTAACTTTTATAAGTATAGTGTAAAAAATTGTGTAGCTAAATTGTAATAAAAAAATAGAGAAAAAGCAGAGTCAGTATAACTTCTGCTTAGATAGGTGTAAATAAAGCCCCTAAATAATATAAAGAAACAATAGTAATAAAGAAGTGTAACCTATTTACATAAATCATAGTAAAAACAAAATAGTAGGAATTACATAATATCACACTGTAAATCAGTAGGTCAGAAGCTAAGGTAAATCCTGTAAAAAGCGGATACAGAATAACAACAAGTGCAACCACTGACTGAAAGTAACAAATGTTGCTGTGGCAAAACCGACCTCGCCACGTGTCCTTGGAGGGGGCTGCTTGCCCGCCTCTTGCCTTTGGACTATGGCCCTGCAGGTTAAACTGTTTATTTTCCCTGCAGAAAGGCTTATTCGTGTGATCTGAGTGCCATTCATCTAATAATGTGCAGTCAGATCCAAGCTATCTGGGGATATGTAGAAATGTGTGTTTTATGTACTAAATGTGTCAGTATGTAATTTTATGTCTTTTACTGTCTTTTTGTCTGCCATGTGGGTAATGGAGTTTGGCTCTGTCTTTGGAGATAATTAGATTCCTTCTCCAATTATCTCCAGGGCAGAAGGGAGGAAGCCAGGATGCATTGTGGGGATGTTTTACTTTTACTGTTTGAGCCAGGGGGAACAAAAGATACTTTTACTAACTTTTGAACCCCTGGTCTGATTCATGCCATTTTTTAATATGTTGTTCCCCTGAATGGATTGATTGTGAATATGTATTTTTATGCGAATGTGATGTATATTTTGGGAGTTATGAATGTTGTGTAAAAACTGTATTTTCCCTACCTATGATAATTGTATTTTCCTGTGTGTACAGATAATTAGTTTACAGGTAGAGGGGAGGGCTATGTGTGGGATGTAACTATTGTGTGATTGGTTAATGTACGTTACTGTGTGTGTCCCTCCCCTTCATGGGAGCACCTAATAAAAAGGGCTGCAAGCTAGCAGCCAGAGAGTTCTATTTTTACCCTCAACTTGAGTCCTGTCTCTTATTGGGGGAATCTGCTACAAGGGATTGCTATGCTAGGCATATTCCCTTGCTATAATCACTGAGCTCTTGTAAGAGCTTGTTCCTGCTTCGTTCTGAAGGGAGATAGCTGCAGCCTGCGGTGCTTATGGTGTCTGGTGGAGTGCTTGGAGTCCTCTGGAAGCGCTAGGAGCATCTTTCAACGGAGGTACCCAGTCGGGGTGCCAGGTGATCCGTTACAGTTGCTAATCTAATGAGTGGGGAGGAGGGAAAAGATAAATACAGTGTGAAAGATAGCAGAATGACAAGCCCTGCAAGAAGTCCTTTGTATTAGAAGGAGAGAAAGCTAAAGAGAGAGATTCTAGCTTCCCTACTCTGCTGTGCCTTCGAGGGCCAGAGAGCCGTATTCGTGCAGTATGCTACCCGGGTTTCGCTCCAGGGGTTTTGAAGCCGAGACCCGCTCGCCTATTCACGGATAGAAAAGATGGACGCCATCTCGTGTTTGGGACAAAGAAACACGAAAAGACTTATCTACAGGAGACTGGCTATACTGTTCGTGAGGTCTGAGCGCTATTCGTCTATATGATGCGCTCAGACCTGAGCTATCTAATGAATGGTTGAATGTACGGGGTATTTAGTAAAGTGCTATGAATATATATTTTATGCCGTTTTCACATGTTGGAAATACACGTGGGACTCTGGGCACTTGTAGATAATTGAATTGCCATAACCGTTGGAATCATTATCCCCAAGCAGGGCGGGGACTAGTTCGAACGATACAGTCTATTGTCATTGGTCAACTGTATGTATTATCCCGGTATCCCATCAGGTCCAGAGGGGGCTGTCCCTGGACCTGGGAATTTGCATAAATAACGCTGTCCCTGTGCCATTGAAGCAAATTTGTGTTTGACCCTCAAATCGCAGCCTCGACTCGTTTTGTGGGAACCAGGGTATCCTAGCTAGACTAGAGCTAGTGGGATTGCTTTATATTCACAGGACTCTGGTGGTCTACTGGACGGAAGAGCGCTCCTCACTCTCTACATTCGGAAACCAGGACATCCAAGCGGTCCAGCCTTCAGCTAGCTTGGAGGTAACTGCAACAGGGGTTATCCCCCACCTGACAACTTCTCCCTGATAGGTTTTCTCTATATCTGTGTTTTCAACAAAGTTTTATCACAGGGGCCATAGTCACAGGGTAAGAGGCTGGCAAGTATGCCCCTCTAAGAACCTATGATGAGGTCCAGTTCGTCACAATAGCTTTATTCTATGCTCGGACCTAGGTCCTGGGTGCAACCATCTTTGTGTGGGCACATGAAGGCCCTGTGGGACACTTAATCTCCCCACACTAGATAGCGCTATGAAATTCCCACGCATGCCCAGTTGAACACTTGGTCATTCGCTATTGTCTGAAATTCAGATGGGGATTTCATCTTTTCATTAATCAGAAAGACTAAAATTTAAAACGAATGAACAAAGACCTCATTCGTTGGTTCGTTCAGTTTATTACAAGGAGGGAGCTACTGGCTCCTAACTCCCCCAATGCCTCCTATCATTATATGAAGGTCAATATGACCCCCATAGTAGCATAAGGGAGATTAAATTCTTCCGAATGCCCCTACTTGCTATGCCGCGAGTATGGGCATGTGTACTAAAGAGTGAGCAATCAGTGTCCCCCCCCCCCTCTTGTCATTGAGGGCCCCCACCCACCAATCATGTTTAGTTTAATAGCCCCCATTAGTAAAGTTGGCTGAAAGACCAATTTTCATATTTCAGCCTTTTAGTAGGAATCTACTTTAGATAGTTATCTACTAAGCGATTGCAAGATGTAGCCACGGCAGTAATAGGATTGGAATTTAATTCATACAAATGAAATTCAAACCAAAAGTACAGAATGTTGTCCTATCACGAATGCTGTACTCATTCTGTTAGGACAAAATGTGGTAGTTTCGCCGGCGCCCTGTCTAAATGAAAGGAATAGTGAAAGTGCATTGGGCATGACGGACAATTGGAACCGCGGCTGGTTCCCTTATTTACCACTATAACGTCTTAAAGCATAGAACTTAGCAGGGCAAACCATACATATATCTTAGCTATAATTTTATATAGTTAGTGTAAGAGATCCTCTATTTAACATATATAAATAATTGAGAATACAATATAAAATAAGGATTGTCTTGGAAGTAGCAATAGTTTTGTCTTTTTAGATATTTATTATATAAATATATAAATATAGACATATAAAATCCATTATAGCAGAGTTTATAAAATTAAACTAAATGCTTGCAAATATCATTAATAGGTTAACATACCGTTCTGAACATGTCATCATGTCAGCCTCTCTGTCATTTTAAGATGGAGCAGAGTCTGTCTCCAAGTCTCTCCTCTGTCTTAACATTATTTATAACTTAGGTGTCTCCATTTTAGGGTTACCGTAGTTCATATATGAAAAAGTAACACTTCTTTTACTTTATTCATTTTAGGACCTCCCTTAATTTGGCAAACATACGAGGCAATAACTATAGGGTGCACACGTCATGGAAATTTTCCTGACTTAGTTCAAGATGGCATCTTAAAGTCTGAACCCTGATCTATTTAGGGTTACCACAGTATATTGTCTACTGAAAGAGTCCTAGGATAGACTTGAAGCTTGTTTATGCATTATTGTTATTGTAATTCGTCTGGGACAAAATGGCACAAACATATTATGCACTGTAGGTAGGTAAGAGGTTATTGCTTAAAGAAACCATTATGAAAAACAATATGTTCCATTTCCATGTCTTGTCAGTTTGCAATATCTCTTAAGGACAAAGTACACAGTTTAAGAAATACAACATTTCATTCTAAAACTTGTAATATTTGCATTTGCCCATAACAGACTTACATATGTGCACTTGGAAGATCTCTTCACCTATATTTGACAAGGGAAAAATAGAGAGGAAGTCTGATCAGTGTTATCATACAGAGCAGGCTCTAGAGTTCTCTATCCTCCATGCTGCCAAAGATGTCCTGTTTCTGTCATTAGTAGACTGGTCTGAAACTGGGTAAATAAGGGGGGAGGACTGAAGAAACTTCCCTAGCTGAGAGGCGTGCCCAACAATGCAATTTGACATGCATACTTTATAAAGTTTTTCTGGCTTTATTTGGGTTTGTATATTTGTTTAAAAGTGCATGCTTGCGGGTAAAAAAAATAGAAAATTAAGTAACACACGTCCCTTTTTTACCAAAGGGCAAGCTAGTGAGTTTCTTTTTGTATTTTTCCCGGTTCTCAAAGATATCAAATTTTCTGTTTTCCATAAATTAGAATTGTAGCCATAATGTTTTATGATTATCAAGAAATTAACATTGATCTTCCTTGTAGTGCGGTTCCGGGTCATCTCGTTAGACTCAAACCTGAAGCCAGTAAAGGAGTCGGTGAGTAAACTTCTCCCTTGGTCCAATTTCTTCAACCTTGTTTCATTAATGGCATTTTCACAAAATGGATTAAAATTTTACTAATCATGGCTTTTGCTTCAAATTATTTTTAAGCAATCCTAAATAAGGATATTTTTAAATGAGGAGAGGATAGAGGGGAAATGTCCCAGAGTGAGGAGAGGATAGAGGGGAAATGTCCCAGAGTGAGGAGAGGATAGAGGGGGAAATGTCCCCCAGTGAGGAGAGGATAGAGGTGGAAATGACACCAAGTAAGTAGAAGATAGAGGGGGAAATGCCCCCGAGTAAGGAGCGGATAGTGGAGGATAATGTCCCCGAGTGAGGAGAGGAAAAAGAAGAAATTGCCCAGATTGAAGAGAAAATAGAGAGGGAAAGGCACAGAGTGAGAAGAAATGGCCCCGAGTGAGGGAATGGCACAGAGTGAGAAGAGGATAGAGGGGAAATGGCCCAGAATTAGGAAAGTTAGAAAGGGAGATGGCACAGAGTGAGCAAAGGATAGATGGAGAGATGGCAGAGAGTGAGGAGAGGATAGAGGGGAAATGGCCCAGAGAGAGAAGAGTATAGACAAGGAAATGGCACAGAGTGAGAAGAGAATAGCGGGTAAATGGCCCTGAGTGAAGAGAGGATAGAGGGGAAATGGCCATGAGTGAGGACAGGATAGAGCGGAAGTGACCCCAAGTGAGAAGAGGATAGAGGGGGAAATGGCACAGAATGAGAAGAGGATAGAGGGAGAATAGCACAGAGTGAGGAGAGGATAGCAAAGGATAGAGGGGGAAATGCCCCCGAGTGAGGAGTGGATAGAGGGGGAAGTGTCCCTGAGTGAGGAGAGGAAAGAGGGGGAAATTAAACAGATTGAGGAGAGGATAGAGGTGAAATGGCACAGAGTGAGGAAAGGATAGAGGGGGAAGTGGCATAGAGTGAGGAGGATATAGAGAATAGCACAGAGTGAGGAGAGGATAGATGGATGAAATGTCCCAGAGTGAGGAGAGGACAGAGGGGGAAATGGCACAGAGTGAGGAGAGGATAGAGAGGAAATGGCCCCGGGTGAGGAGACATTTGGCAGAGCTTCAACTTGCCCAGTGTGCGAAGAGGATAGAGGGGAAATGGCCCAGAGTGAGAAGATGATAGAGGGGAAATGGTATAGAATGAGTAAAGGAGAGAGTGGAAATGGCCCAGAGTGAGGAGATGATAGAGGGTAAATGTCCCCGAATGAGGAGAGGATACTCCAAGGGAGTATAGTGATTATAGCAATCCCCAGAGGAGCGAATATAGCTGTTCCCTCCAAGCATGAGACTAGGATCTATGTTGAGGGTGAAGGACAGAGTGAGGAAAGGATAGAGGGGTAAATGGCCCCAAGTGAGGAGAGGATAGAGGGGGAAATGGCCCCAAGTGAGGAAAGGGCACAGAGTGAGGATAGGATAGAGGGAAATGGCCCAGAGTTAGGAAAGGTAGAGAGGGAGATGGCACAGAGTGAGTAAAGGAGACATGGGGAGATGGCACAGAGTGAGGAGAGGATAGAGGGGAAATAGCCCCAAGTGAGGAGAAGATAGCAGGGAAATGGCACTGAGTGAAGAGATTGTCACAGCTACCCCAGTGGAGAGGGGGTATCAGCCGTTGGAGACATCCTTCTTCCCGGAAAGATGCTGTGCAGTAATGGAGTGGCCTTCTTTCTATCAGCTGGATCCAAGTAGAGAGGGAGAGGTAGAGCTCTTAAAATAGCTAGTGATTAGCTGAGCAGATTCCCTTTCAAGAACGAGACAAAGCTATGTTTTGGAGGGTAAAGTAGAACTGAGGTTTTAATGACAGGTACTCCTTTTATGTGGTGCTCCCATGCAAGGGAGACACCCACAAACAATTAGACATTAACCAATCAAACAGTGGTTACATCCCCCAGATTCCCTCCCCTCTGCTTGGGAGGTAATTGAGTTTCTTACTGTATCTACTCAATTATCTCCAAGCTAAAACTTATACTTTTTATGCATTTTTATAAATTTCTGATTTTTCATCATACAGGAATAAAACTTATATTTTTATGAACAACACAACTTGGGGACAAACATGTTCAAAATTCATACAAATCCATTCAGGGGCTCCAGAAATATTAAAAAGTCTCTTTGGACCGACCGCACCCCTGTTTGTATGCCCAAAACAGTTCCACAGATTCAGGCTGTGCGTTTGGTCTATTTCTGCCATGAAAATTAACAAAGTCCCATCCGAAGGCGGCATTCGAATAGTCGAACGCACTTCGACTTCTGTTGAAGTAAAAAACGGGGTTAAGTTTCAGCGGTGTTCGTTAGTTAAGTGGAGGTCTATTTTACACTAAAAAGATGACAAAGTCCCATTCGAACATACGTTCGAATCTTCGAATGGGACTTAGTCTCCAGCCGCAGTGTCGAAGGGTAGGGGAAGGTACAGGTCAGCGGTGTTCGTTCAAATGTGTGGCCGATTTCCGTTCCAGGGATTTGACAGCACACACTGCTGACCGCGTTCGACTGAATTAAAATGGCCGCCTCCACGTGTTCAATTGTCTAATGGCGGCCACTTCAACTACTTCGGCACTTCGGCTGTATCTGAAGTGCCAATTTAAAGTTGTAACACTGCTTCAAAGTAATTAAAGAGCCAGAAACAGCATTATAAAAATCCATTATGCCCAAATACAGTTCTTAAAGGGTCAGTAACAGTATAATATGAGTCCATAAGCCCCCAACTCAGTTCCTTAAAGGGCAATACATCCCAGTGCCATATCAAACGTACCAATCCTTTGCACAAAACAGTTAAAGGGCCAGACACAGTCTTTGTTCTTAGGTACAGGGCAATGTGGATGATGGCAGGAAAACAAAAGGTAGAGGTTCCCAGGCAACATAGTAGGAGGTTGTTACAGAGATGATAGAACTAAAATGGCACAGAGTGAGGAGAGGATAGAGGGGCAATGGCACAAAGTGAGGAGAGGATAGAGGCGAAATTGCCTGCAGGGAGACTGCCTGATAGAGGGGGAAATGGCACAGAGTGAGGAGAGGATAGAGGGGGAAATGGCACAGAGTGTGGAGAGGATATAGGGGGAAATGCCCCCAAGTGAGGAGCGGCTATAGGGGAAATGTCCCCATGTGAGGAGAGGAAAGAGGGGGAAATGGAACAGAGTGAGGAGAGGATAGAAGTGAAATGGCACAGAGTGAGGAGAGGATAGAGGGGGAAATGGCACAGAGTGTGGAGAGGATAGAGGGGGAAATGCCCCCAAGTGAGGAGCGGCTATAGGGGAAATGTCCCCATGTGAGGAGAGGAAAGAGGGGGAAATGGAACAGAGTGAGGAGAGGATAGAAGTGAAATGGCACAGAGTGTGGAGAGGATAGAGGGGGAAATGCCCCCAAGTGAGGAGCGGCTATAGGGGAAATGTCCCCATGTGAGGAGAGGAAAGAGGGGGAAATGGAACAGAGTGAGGAGAGGATAGAAGTGAAATGGCACAGAGTGAGGAGAGGATAGAGAGGGAAATGGCACAGAGTGTGGAGAGGATAGAGGGGGAAATGCCCCCAAGTGAGGAGCGGCTATAGGGGAAATGTCCCCATGTGAGGAGAGGAAAGAGGGGGAAATGGAACAGAGTGAGGAGAGGATAGAAGTGAAATGGCACAGAGTGTGGAGAGGATAGAGGGGGAAATGCCCCCAAGTGAGGAGCGGCTATAGGGGAAAGGTACCCATGTGAGGAGAGGAAAGAGGGGGAAATGGAACAGAGTGAGGAGAGGATAGAAGTGAAATGGCACAGAGTGAGGAGAGGATAGAGGGGGAAATGGCATAGAGTGAGGAGAGGATAGAGGGGGAAATGGCATAGAGTGAGGAGAGGATAGAGAATAGCACAGAGTGAGGAGAGGATAGATGGGGGGAAAGTCCCAGAGTGAGAAGAGGAAAGAGTGGGAGATGGCACAGAGTGAGGAGAGGATAAAGGGGAAATGGCACAAAGTGAGGAGAGGATAGAGTGAAAACAGGGGAAATAGCACAGAGTGAGGAGATGATAGAGTGATAATGGCACAGAGTGAGGAGAAGATAGAGGGGGAAATGGCACAGAGTGAGTAGAGGGTAGAGTGGAAATGGCCCAGAGTGAGGAGAGGATAGAGCTAAAGTGGCCCCAAGTGAGGAGAGGATAGAAAGGGAAATGGCACAGAGTGAGGAGAGGAGAGGGGGAAATGGCACAGAGTGAGAAGAGGATAGAGGGGAAATGGCAAAGAGTGAGGAGAGGATAGAGGGGAAATGGCCCAGAGTGAGGAAATGATAGAGGGGAAATATCCCAGAGTGAGGAGAGGATAGAAGGGTAATGCCCCCATGAGGAGGGGATACTCCAAGGGAGTATAATGCTTATAGCATATGACGGACCACCTGGCTCCCTGACTGGGTGCCCCCGCCAATCGATGCTTCCTAGCTGACGCTGTGTACCATAAGCACCCCACTGGACACCAAAATCACCGTAGCCCTTTAGCCGCCATAGCTTGGCTGGGGTCTCGCTGTCCATCACCCACCCTGGACCCTAGCCCACGATCCAGCTTCCAGTGGGTGGACCTCTCCTACTCCAGAGAGTATAGCAGGTATAGCAGTGTAGCTCTTACTCCAGTGATTATAGCCAGTATGGCAAACTGAAGCAGGTATAGCTGGTATAGCTGTTCCCTACAATCACAAGACGAGGATGAGTGTTGAAGGTGAAGTGAACTGATTTTAATGGGACCACACTTGGTCTTTTATGACAATCCCCATGCAAGGGGCACTCCCCTCTGGACCTGAGAGTAAACCACAGCAGGAGGCTGGCAAGCAGGCTCATCCAAAAGCCTGTGGCAAGGTTCTGTTCATCACATAGCAATTCCCAGAGTAGTGAATATAGCTGTTCCCTCCAAGCATGAGATGAGGCTCTATGTTGAGGGTGAAGGACAGAGTGAGGAGAGGATAGATGGGAAGTGGCACATTTGAGGAGAGGAGAGGATTGAGGAGAAGGCAACAGAGCCAATATAGCCTTGGCAGTGAGGGTATAAAGGAAAATAGGGATGTACTGGAACTATGATAAATGAAGGAAAGGTTAGTGAAGTTAGTTGGGTGGTTCAGCAGGAATCTTACACAGGGAGAGGTGGATTGGTAAGACTAACTAATATGTGAGGAGGATAGGGTGTTTTAGCATGTGGGTCAATAAAGGAAATTTGGAAGAATTGTTTGATACCAAGCACTGACAGATGGATAAGGAGGTGGTGAATTGTTAGAGAGGAGAAGTAATAGGATTGCCATGGAGGGAGACTGTCTATTGGAGCCCTAAGGAGGAATCAAATGGTCTTTAATGCATACAAAGAAGAATGAAATTGAGAGGTAGTGGCATGTGAGGATGTACACAGACACTTGCCTTGGGTCGAGTTTAATAAGGTCATTCACTGGGCAATGTTTGTCTTCTCTCTGTCATGACAAGGTGAATGGCTGGGTTCATTTCTGAATGGAGCCTGTTCACATGTACGGTCAATCTGTAGATCATGCAGCCAGCTCATGGTGAAGTAGTCAAGTTAAGGTCTAATAATGGAGCAATAGAACTCAACAATCTCCTTTCTTTATATGTCTTTAGATGACTTAGGACAGAAATAAGGAAACAGTGTTTACTGCTATAGTTGGGTGTAAGGGATGTGGATGTAACAAATTGCAAACCCATAATACACGTCTTTCTTTGTTTCTTTTTCAGTATCCTGTTGTCTACTTACAGGTACCGTAAGAAATGTTTTAGAATTTTTAATGTGAACAATTATTATATTAATTATCTGTATGTCTGATAATGTGACGCATTATTTTTATAAGAATTATAGTTCTTGATATTTTATAACCTGTTATGTACACAAACTTAATGATATATAGAGCATTATTCATGTAAGCTGCGATTATCCATGATTATCTGGACTACGATGTAAAAGTAAAAAAAAAAAAAACTCAAACGCCCTCTAATCACAGTGGAAAACAACACAATGAGGGGATATAAACAAATAAATATACCCATTTTACTCACCTACTGCTGATAAAAAAAAAGACTCCTCCATATCCACAAGATAAAAAACACAAAATATCTACAGTAAAAATAAAATACATAGAATAGTATTGTACATATACCTATAATATTAGGAGTGAATAGAGTGCACTCACAAACCAACGTTTGATTGTAGCCACGTCGGATCCATCAATAGACCAATGTCACTGCCTCCCAGCAGTGATGGATTATGCAAAGGAAAAGTAAGTGTGACGGTTACCCCTATAGAGTCAGGGTATCAACCTTCTTCCCATAGAAGGTCCCAACCCGATATCCTGAAGAGCTAGTATAGCTGAAGAGAGCTCTTACAAGAGCTGGCAATGACATAGCAGTTATAACTGTTCCCTACAACACAAGATGAGGCTGAGAGTTGAGGGTAAGAAGGTCTGGCTTATTGAGCAACTTGCATTTCTTTTGTACAGATTTTCAGGCCAGTGGCACACGCCCTGGACCTGATGGAACACAGGGACAAAAGGAACATAAACCAATGGGAACAATAATTGTTTCTGTAACACTCCCACATACAGTCAGCAAGTCCTCCCCTCTACCTGTGATATAATTAAGATTGCTAATGGAATAACTTAATTATCCACAGGCAGAAAATACCCATTTTTACCCAAAGTACAGAAACACCCCAAAACTCAAACATATCCCCATAAATTATGCATCCCTGGATAGCTCTAATCTGGGCAAACAACATATTAAAAAATTACCAAGATCAGAGCGGGGGTTCCTGAATTCTGTGGAAGTCACATTTGACCTACCGCACGCTTGCCCTACAGAGTTCCAGAGAATTAGGTTGCGCGCCAATCTATCTTCTCATTCAAATAATGTATAAATTGCACGAACGGACCAGTTCGTACATAACTCTATTGGATGGGTCTCATTCAGTAGGTTGTTCTCACTGAATAGCGCTCTGTTCGTGTGGATTTAGCCAAACGCATGGAAGGTGGAAGTCCCAACAGTGTTCGAGCCTTTGATTGTCCGATTTTGGTTACAGGCGTTCGATGACAAAACACTGCTGACCGTGTTCGGCTACACAAGATGGCCACCGCGTGTTCGGTCATACAAATGACGACCACCCAGCCATTTGTCAATTAGGCTGTGGTTAACCAGAGCTTCTGGGCGCTTAACCAGCTGCACACTCCACATGCAGGGTGGACGTTCTTCGACACTTTGTTCGGCTACTTGAATAATATTATCCTGTCTGTAATAAAGTCTTAATTTACCGAACCAGCTAAAGAATACATTAGGGAGCATACAAAACCCAGCAATGAAAAGGGGAAAACCGAAGTCCAGGGACGTAAAAACAGTAAAAAGGGGGAACACACTATAACCACTGCAGAGAAGGGAAAGAAACACCATAACTACTGAAAATACAAAGGGTTCTTGTTACAGTAAGCAATCATAGTGCAGAGTGCCTATATATGGACACAAATTTCATTACAAATGCACTTACAATATTAAAAGAAACTCGGGCATATCAACATGTAGATAGGAGAAATGCAGTCTCCACCAATATCCCAGGAATCCAAATAGGGGGTTCCTTTCTCCTCTCTTTCACGAACAGAAAATAAAATAAACAATAAATTAAACACAAGTTCTCATAGCACAAATGCTGGGACTTCCTCAGGGGAAGCAGGGGCGCTTATTAAGGCAGCTTCTCCTGTTGTGGCCGGCATCTTCATGTTTAAACCCTCAGGGAGGCTCCCATGAGTTACCATCAGCCAATCACTGTGGAGCTCTCCCATCTGTGGGTCATTAGTTGCAAATGCGATCCAAGCATCATTCCTGGATTGCGTCGCCAGTCACATGAGTCATGAAATCACAATGTTGCATCACTTCCTTCCAGTTTGCATTCCACCGGTGACGATGTGTTCCACAGGTTACACAAGTCCATAAAAAGTCCCTAACGTGCACAAATATAAAAAATGAAAACATAAAAACTAATGTAACATATCTGGTCATATTTGTTACTCTTGATTATATTGAAACCAATAAGGAAAATTGATATTGGGAAGCAGATAGTAATTAGCAAAAAAATTAAAAAAAACTAAACAAAATACAAAATATGCACAAAAGTATATCTGCATAGAGCAAAAAAACCAAAACTTTTTTTGTGTGTGTTTTATCTACAATACGAAAGTTCATGCATTATCCTATTCTGTTACAAAGGTAAAGGAGTGCACACAGCACAGCATATTTAATTAAACGGATATTCCACTGCTTAATTTTTTTTTAAATCACTCTTAACTAGATATGCAGGGGGACTGCCTCTCGAGACAGGCATTCCCCCTGCTTCCTTTACGGCCCTCCAGGGCCATGTGATCGCTATGGACGTCGCAAATCACATGGCCGCAAAGCAGTGTTCAGGCAGTACACCTAGTGTCTAAAAAATAAAATAAAACACATTTAAATAATATATTATACACATATAATATATTATAAGTTAATTAAAACTATATGCATATTATACATATATAATACATATATAAATTACATATACATATATAAATTAATTCTATATAATTTAATTCTTACATATATAAATTAATTCTTACTGTATTTTGGTATTAATATACGTATTCATACCAAAATACACTTAGAATGAAATTATATATGTATTATTATTATTGTTATTATTATTGCGATTTATATAGCGCCATCAGATTCCCTAGCGCTTTACAATATTATGAGAGGGGGGACTTAACTATAAATAGGACAATTACAAGAAAACTTACAGAAACGATAGATTGAAGAGAACTCTGCTCAAACGAGCTTACAGTCTATAGGAGGTGGGATATAAACCACATTAGGACAGGAAATAGCAATCAAATAAGGTGGGAGTGAAGCAGAGCTGGAGGAGAGAGTAGAGTGCTGCCCTTCAGGAGAGAGCAAGAGACTGGTATGTGAGGTAGAGGTTACTCTGGGATGCCATAAGCTTTCCTAAAGAGAAGGGTTTTAAGGCACTTCTTAAATGATTGCAGATTAGGGGAGAGTCTGATGGCGGTAGGCAGGCTATTCCATAGGAAGGGAGCCGCCTGCGAGAAGTCCCGAAAGCGTGAGTTGGCCGTATGGGTGCGAGCAGTGGACAGGAGAAGGTCATAGGCAGAGTGGAGAGACAGAGAAGGGGCATACCTATGGATCTGTGAAGAGCTATAAGAGGGGCTAGATGCTCTGAGTCAAATTGCAGGGCGTGGGAAGGCTTTATAAGCCTTCCCACGCCCTGCAGAGCTCAGTCTGCCCTCGCTGGGTTAAGATGGATTAATTTTCTAGTGGCGAGATTTTTGGTAAGTATAATTTTTATTTTTTTTTACAGGGATTTAGATTTATTACTTTCCCACCTCACTATTAGGTAGGTACCTATTGTCCCGTTCCCCTCTGTCCCCCCCTTCTAGTGACAATAAGGGAGGGACATGGATCCTCCCCCGGCCCTCACCCATGAGCGGCGGATGAGGGCCCTAAGATTATATGGGGGACCTATTGTCCACCTGGCCCCTGCTCATGTGCGGCAGGTGGGGGCCCAAAATTACAATAGGCCCTCGCCATGACAATAGGTCCCCCGTATCATCTTAGGGCCCTCACCCCTGAGCGGCTGGTGAGGGCCATAAGATGATAAGGGGGACCTCTTGTCCACCTGGCCCCTGCCAATGTGCGGCAGGTGGGAGCCCAAAATTACAATTGGGTGGAACCTATTGTTCCCCCCGGCCCCCATCCATAAGCGACGGGTGGGGGCTACGTGAAAACAACACTCTGAAAACAACACTCTGATTGGCTGGCTTGGAATCCAACCAACCAGAGTGTTCTGTGTCATTTCACACAGCATGGGAAAATTCCCCAAAACTTTCCCACGCTATGTAAAATTACACAGAGCACTCTGATTGGTTGGATTCCAAGCCAACCAATAGGAGTGCTCTGATAGCCTTGCAAGTACCCAATCACAGTCCAATCAGTCAAATTGCAGGGTGTGGGAAGGCTTTATAAGCCGTACCCCGCCTTGCAGAGCTCAAGCTGCACAGTGCCCTCGCTGGGTGAAGATGGATTAATTTCGTAGCGTTGAGATTTTTTTTTTTTTGTGTGCTCGGTGTGACGGACCCTCTGCTCCTAGTGCTCACCAAGGACCATCAGCTTGGTTTGGGTCCCGCTATCTTCTGCCCACCCTGGACCTACGACAAGGCTCCAGGTTCCAGTGGGTAACTCTCTCTTCCAGGAGAGTATAGCAGGATCATCTGTAGAGCTCTTACAAGAGCTAGTAGAATCCAAAGGAGTATAATGATTATAGCAATCCCTGTAGTGATTATAGCTATTCCTACAACACGAGACGAGGCTGTGAGTTGAGGGTAAGAAGATTTGAGAGTTTAATGGTACAGGTTGGATTTTTATACAACTTTTCAGGTCAGATGAACACCCACTGGGCCTGATGGGGCACCAGGACACAAATTGTACAGACCAATAGAAACAATGTAACAATGCCTGACAATCCCACATACAGCACACAATCCCTCCCCTCTGCCTGTGATACAATTAAGTTAGATAATGTATTAACGTAATTATCCCCAAGCATAAAAAAATATATTTTTATAAAGTACCATAAGTACCCCAAAATACAACATATTCACATAAATCATCCCCTGATAGCTCTGATCTGGGTGAACAACATATCCAAAAATCACCCAGATCAGGGGTTCAGAAATTTTATGGAAGTCATATTTTTACCCAGGCAAAGGCATGGTCCCATGCCCAAAACAGTTCCATAGAATTGCGGATAGAAGTGCCTCTGGAGGACCGACCAGGAACCACGAGGTGCTCATGCCGAAAATAGTTCCAGGGCATTCACGGCTAAGTCCCCCTAAAGTCTATTTGTGGTTTTGGTCCATGTGAACAAGAGGGCCACCATGTGTTCGAATGTCGAATGCCGGCCACTTCAACTGTTCAGGAGTTTGAAGAACCATTTGTAACGGCTACCCCAGTTGGAGAGGGGGTATCAGCCGTTGGAGACGTCCTTCTTCCCGGCAAGATGCTGTGCAGTAGTGGAATTGCGCTATCCCATCCGCTGGATCCAAGTAGAGAGTAAAGCAGAGCTCTTAAAAGAGCTAGTGATTATGTTGAGGAGGTTCCCTTTCAATAAGAGACGAGGCTATGTTTTGAAGGGTTAAGCAGAACTGATTTAATGACCACAAAGCAGCTGCTTTTATGCAGGTTCTTACAGGAATGTTAACACGCACTGGACCTTGTGGGTCACTGATAATGTGAATACAACAGCCAATCAGTTACAATTGTACAGTAAAAGCACACCCATTAATTACAGTACATTCCTCCCCTCTACTTAGGAGATAATTGAGTTAATCGTTATATCAGCTCAATTATCTCCAAGTTAAAAAATATACTTTCATGCATTTTTCATAACTTTAAAACTATACACAAGATATTAATAGATGTTACATTTTAATAAACAATCCATTCAGGGGAACAACATATCCAAAAATGGCATGAATTGGACCAGTGGTTCGGGAGTTAGTAAAAAGGTGCATGTGACCGACCGCTCGCACATTTCTCTCCCTAAATTAGTTCCACAATTTCATTCTATGTGGTTGGTCTATCTTCCCGTTGTAATAGATGTAAAATGCATGAATGGAACTGCTCGTGCCTATCATCATTGGATGCAGATTGTTCGTATGAAGAAACCCACGAATTAGTGCTTTGTTCGTATGTTTCTTGTCGAACGCACTGAAGGTAGAAGTTCAGCGGTGTTCGTGGAAAAAGTTAGCCGAAATCAGTTCCATGCGGTCGACGACCAAACACTGCTGAGTGCGTTTAACTAAACAAAATGGCCACTGCCACGTGTTCGCACATACGAACGCCAACCACCCTTTTAACCCATTAGAATGTTAAGGTGTTTGCAGTTTGTACAGGTCAAGAGGGTTAATTGGTGCCACACTCCTGCTCTGGGTGGTCGGTCGGTCGGTCGTTCGACAGAATATTTGGTAAATGAATGATTATGGCCAAATGCACGATTGATCCATTTTAGTGAAGGCAAACAAACGAATAATCTCTGTTCTCAGTTCCATGCAGCAAATATACGGCTTAACAGGGGTTTTGTTACACCATTGTTTAAAGTCCCAATAGCCACAAAAAGGGTCTCTCAACCACAATAAATTAAAGAGGCCATAGTCACAGGGTAGAAGGCTGGCAAGTAGTCCCCTCCAAACCCCAGTGGCGAATTGGTTTTCACCACACTCGGGTTATTTTTTTATTTTAGAAGTTCGACGGAAATTATGGAATTTTTTTGGCCTTTTTTAAGGCTGAAAAAAGAAGACATCTTATGGTAAGTATATATATATTTTTTTACAGGGATTAAGATTTATTACTTCCCCCTATCTATTTTTAGGGTGAGGGGGGTAGGTAGTAAGTTATTTAAAGGGAGGAGGGTGACTAGGGGCCTGGGGCACTGGATTTTTTTACATAGCCTCCACCCGTCACCCATGGGTGGGGGCTGGGGGGGAACAATAGGATCCCCCATTGTAATTTTGGGCCCCAACCTTGGGTGGGGGCCAGGGAGATAATAGGTCCCCCCGTATCATCTTAGGGCCCCTACCCACCGCTCATGGGTGGGGGTGGGGGAGTAATAGGGTCCCCACCCGCCGCTCATGGGTAGGGGCCTGTGGCAGGGACAATAGGTACCCCACCATTGTCATGTAGGCACCCCACCCATGGGGCAATGTCCCCCCGCTAGTTAATAGATGGTTGGGGGTCTAGTTAATAGATGGGGGGTTCACCAGAGTGCTCACTGTTTAGTAGATGTTACAAACTGCCATTTGTAACTGTTATTTTATTTGACAAATTGCCCTGCTTCCCTGTGCTATGGAGAAGCCTAATTGCCAGCCTTCTGCCCCATGACTATGGACCTAGTGTGTATGGCGATTTGACTGTATTTGTGGGATCTGAGCGCTGTTTGGATATATTGAGCGCTCAGATCCAAGCCATCTGGGGATAGGTTGAATGTGGGGGTTCTGTTCAGTATGATAGGAGTTATGCATTTTTGTGTCTTTTTGTGTCTTTTGCTAACATGTGGTTAATGGAGTCTGCCTCTATCCCTGGATAATTGGATTACTTTCCCCATTGTCCAGGATAGAGGGCTCTGTAAATCCGGTTTGGGCCAGAAAACCATGCTGCCAGCTAGGCCCCAAAAGATACTTTTGCTAACTTTTGAACCCCTTGTCTGATTTGTGCCAGTTTTTAATATGTTGCTCCCCTGAATGGATTGATTCTAAATATGTATTTTTATGAAGATTGGATGTGTAGTTTGGAAGTTATAGTACATGTATAAAAACTGTATTTTTACTGCCTGTGTTTAATTATGTTAACCCATTGTGCAACATAATTAGATCACAGGCAGAGGGGAGGAGTTTTGTGTGTAATTGCTGGGAGTGTTTCTGTAATGTACATTTATTATTGGTTGTTTTATACCTCCCTGTGGGCGGTCCTGTATTTGCAAGACTGTAATAAAAACCAGGCTGGGTGTGCCAGCACCTCAGATCTTCTTGACCCTCTAACTTGCAGCCTTGACTCATGTTTGTAGGGGACAGCTATAATCACTACAGGGATTGCTATGCTCTTCATACTCCCTTAGCTACTGAGTTCTTGTAAGAGCTCTTGTTCCTGATCCTGCTTCACTCTACAGAAGGAAGAGGTTCACCTACTGGAACCTGGAGCCTGGTCGTAGGTCCAGGGTGGATAGCAGACGGCGAGATCCTAGCCCAGCAGCGGCGGTTCGTGGAGTCTGCAGTACTTCTGGTGGCTACGCAGTAGTTATGGTGTCTACGGTGCTGATGGTCCTCTGGTGAGCGCTAGGAGCATTCTTTCTACGGTCCAACTTTCAGCCAGCCTGGAGGCAACCGTAACCGTAGATATGCCCCTACTCGCGGCATAGCGAGTGGGAAATTCGGGAGATTTTAATCTCCCTTCTGCCAATATAGGGGTCATTTTGACCCCCATAGAGTGAGGTAGGACATGTGGGGTGTAATAACTGGCTGTGTTTTTCTTTAGTTGAATAAGTCTTTTATGTATATATATATATAGATATTTCTTCTTATCTTCAGTTGATTGATATATATACGTCTTTTGTATATATAGTCTTGGGCCAAATGCTCGCCACAATAATATATGTCTATATTATTGAAAAGTACTAATACGCAATCTGACGTTCTTTATAAAAAATGAGTATTTATTCTACATTCAACAGGAAACAGTTATATATACTTAACAGATGGTAATTCTTAACGATGTTACAGAGAGTCGTCTTGACATCAGAGAGGAGAGCAAACGGATCGTAGCAGGAAGAGACCCCTAATCCTTTGTCCTTGGCTCTATATACCCCAAATTACGTCATAATGTTTAGTTTAGACCCTGCCATATAAGGAAGTTCCCTATATAAAGACCGCCTCAAATCTCTTATACAGGAAATTCCAGAGACCTCATGTTACAGAATAGCAAACACCATCTGTTCTGTTTAACCCATTAGACAGCCACACCTTAATATGTATTTGAATAGGAACATACAGAATATGCAATATTCTACATGGGGGCATTAGGAAGTGGTGGGGAGCACAGCTATTTTTACATATTACAAGGAGGGAGCTGTGAGCCGACAGCTCTCTCCTAGTAATAAACAAATGAACACACAAACACCAATATTCAGTCTTTGTTTGTTCGTGTGAAATTTCTATTAATTCATTTGTCTTTCTGACGGATGAATAGATGAATTTCTGATATTGTGGGAGCGCGCATTAGGCGGCAAAATGATACCTAACGTCAGTTATGCGTGCTGACGTCAGAGCATGATTGGATATGAGACCAGGGAAGTTACATTCCCGGCTCTCAAAATTGGCTGGTTTGGGGGCGTGGCTTAAAGCCACTCTTCAAAGCCTTCATAAAGAATAAAGAAAATTATTTGAAAAATAAGAGTAGAATGAAAATATTTAAGGCACTCTAACAACTTAAATGAGATTAAGTTGTTACAGTGCCTACAGTGTTCCTTTAAGTGGTTAATTATAGGCAAGTGCCCCTGACCACTAAATCCTGCAATGTTTACGTGGCAGTGTTAAGTCCACCACTAGTGGTCTAGTGACTGGAGGTTCCTGCTCCGTAATGTAGTGAATGCATGGATCCAATGCTTTCCTATGGGGAAGCTTTAATGTGCATGTTACGCTTTCTGCGCACATGCATTAGGTCATGCATTAGGTCCTTCATCGGTGTGATCTTGCAGGATCTTGCAGGAGGAGGATACTGAGCCAGCTCAGATGGAGCCTCAGTGCTGGAAAGAGCTTAGGGATTAAAGTGTTTTTCACCGTTTCATGCTCGCGGGGGGACATGTCAGTTAGGGACAGGGGCACACTATTGCATTAGAAATACAGGTTTGTGTAACACTGTTGTGTTCCCTTAATTTATAAAAGGGACAATTTCTATCGAAGTCAGCATGTTTTGTAAAATGAAAAAAGAGGACACACTCTTCACACATAAAGCATTTCAGCCAGCTATCGTGCTTTAGGGGTGCAAAGTGTTTCTTTTAGGTGTGCACCAGGGGAACATATGTAACATGTAACATGCAATCTGTATTAAATATTACATGTGTATATGTGATAAATATGTATTAAATGGAATTATATAGGTCTGCATTTTTATTAATGAAAGTAAAATGTAATAGAGCATATAGGTTTTAATAAAATCTCATTAGCTCCATACTAAAATATGCATTAAAAAATACCAAAATACCAAATATTGCTCTAGCATGAAGCAAATTTCTTCATAAATAAACAATTATCACCATTTTAAGATCATTTAGAGCGAACCCCAAATTATGTAAAATTGCATAGAGAGATTTAACTGCGTTCCATCTGCATCAAATTCTTATTGATAGGAATCTGTCACTTTCCATGCAGGACCCTTCACGAAATCGTTTGGTTCAGTGGACAAACCAGGAGTCCAATCAAGGTGTTGTGTCCATGGAATTCCAATTAAATGATGATGCATCTCCAGGCAATTACTTTATAACAGCTGAGAGATCCTCTGGTTCTGACGTTGTTCAAAGGTTTACTGTAGACGAATATGGTAAATATTGCAATTAAAAGAACGTATGATCTCCAGTATCAAATGGAGAACTAACCACTTCTCTCTTAAACATGTGTATAGTCATGCTACCTTTCACTTTGAATTGTAAAAAAAGCTTGAGAGAAGCAAATTATTATTTATCAGGGGTCCTTTTTTCATTCTGGAATCTGCAGTAGGTCTGTAAGTTATGTAGGATAAATACACATACTGAGGTTCTTTGCAGGTTGAAATTGTATCCTATAATATCCTTATTGTTAAGATGATTGCTATCATTGTACTTTGCAAAAACTCTGGATGGTGACTGCGTGGTGCAAGAAAGGTGAGTTTTTATTACCCGAACCTGTGCCTCCTTGGTCATCCTGTTGCAGTGTAAGCATGCAGAAGCCAAACACAGAAATATTGGACACAGGTCTTCAGGAAGTAACAGGCCTTTATTCACATTACCGATCGGGTCTCAGATGAACTCTCGTTCCAACATTCTGAGAGACCAACACATAGTGTACATTCCTTATATAGCACTATAACTCCTCCCATTAATAGCTACACCCACATATACCTTTAACCAATCAATGAGCAGACTATAGACTTGTACATCTAGTCAAACCACATGGCTCATCCAAGACAAAGGAAATAAGTGCAATTTCAGTTCCTGCATTCCTGCACATGCTCAGTACACTGATGACAGTATCCTAGCTACATGTAGCTAACCAACTGACACAACATACACATATGCCACATGGAGATTTTGGCCTACTAAATTTTAACCATGCTGGAATCCCATCACATTCCCCCCTTTTGATGCCTCTGATATAACATTATTCCAGATGCATCACCAATCACAGTTTTACCTACATCTCTCAAGTAGCCATTGAACCAGAGTAGACCTTGTAAGCATCTTAAAAACTCCTTCAACATTCTTCATCCTGAATATATTCTCTTTGGGCTAGGGGATCATATCTTCCAGACAGCCATTACATGGGCAGCTGTCTTTCTCTCTATAGTACTCTCTATAATGCTACGTTGAGGGGGCCACTCATTATCTTCCCAGCTACCTATATTCAAGGATGCTCTCTCCCTTTTATGATTTACATTGTAAACCTTAACTCCCAAGGTCTCTCCTGTTTCGATTGGCAACAAGAAGAAGGATGGCTTTGGCATACCTAATACACATGCCCCTTCCCAATCTTGTGGTAACTCCGAATAAGTTTTCTTACCACAGATCCAGTATAAATTTGCTGGGGCTTTCCAACTAGATGTAGCCGATAAGTCAAACCATACCTCCTTTAAATGAGTGTAATTGGCAAACGGATTAGTAGGTTCCGAGACATTTGAAGCTGACCACCAAGTAGTATTTTTAGTATTAACATTATAGGCTTTTTGTCCCAAGCACGTTAGCTCACCTACAGACGTGTTATACATTGTCCCTTTCCTGGCTATACAAACATGACCTATAATGGAGGTTTTTAACCACCATTCCAATTTACTTCTAGTACTTACTTGATGATCAGACTGGAAAGGTATCTGTTGTTCATATGTCTCAGAGCCAGGGTACCATATTTCCTTTGCCTCCCATGGCCACTGGTCTCCCATATTAGTACCTCCACACACATAGCAATTAGTTACATTAAGACTACCTGCAATACCCTCAGCCAAATCAATAAATAGGTTGTTAACATTATGGGGAATTTTATCCTCAATACTCATCTCCTCATAAAAGGAATGAGAAACCTGATGAGTTTGAGTTGCCACTGTCTCAGTTTCAAGACCTACATATATTATTGTTCCTGAATCTACTCCTGTGCCATATATTTGGAACCCAAACAGACCTCCAAACCTGTCAATAAAGTACTGCAGATTGGAAATGGTCATGTGAACGGGGTTACACACATAGTTTTACAGTATGGTGTGGTAGGCAACCTTTGGATAATCATATCTTGATCCACTGTTTTTCCCAGGTTGCCCAACCTACACATGACAAATAGGGGCAGAAGTTAGTCTCTATTTGGGCAATCAGGATCAGTAGATCTTATACTGGGACATAAGTATTTATCATTAAACCCATAAGTTTGTTCCCATTTAAGATTACCACATACATTCCAAAGTCTTCCACTACCCAAAATCGCCTTACATGCATCAAATAGTAGAATACCCGTGGAATGTATGGTGCTTATCACAGTCCTATTTATTAATGTCCCCTGGGAGTTACTATTCCGAATTACCAACCAAATTGTACGGGGTTGGAAATGGGGATCAAAACATTTAGACTCTCCTGATATTGGCTTGCACACACTATAATCAATATCCAAATATCTACATTTAGATACAGATCCCTTACATTCATACTGTGAGTGCCAGATGAGAGTTTGGGATATTTGGTTACCTGTTTTAGTAGTCTTAATGCAACTATCGCAATTCGGTATGTCTGTACTCCTACCTTCCTGAAAAATCATAAAAATACTAAGACACAATAAAACACATTATTCCTGAAATCCTCATTTTTCTTCGACCGTGCGATGGCCTCTCAGCTTCCCGATTGTGAGGGCTGCAAGGATGTTGTTCTTCTGATCCTCACTTTCCTTCACAGAGATCCCTTCAAGATACTCTGGCTATGACACGTAGGCAGGTGGTCAGGCTTTATTATGGCCGTCAAAACACCTACTTGATGATCTTTGTAGACTTTTAACTAGAATGTCTCGATATCCCCTCGTCACTCCGACTGAGTTGCACGCTTCAACCGGGTCCTGCAAGGATTCTCAGGATCTGGAGTAGTTTGCCAAGAGTCTGCTGCTGGTTTAACCTTAGAATGATGAATCCAAGGAGTCACTTCCGCCACCTTTACAGCTGTTGGGGTAGATAAAAGAACAACATACAAAGGCTAACAGGATACACCCCGAGCTTTAACTCAATATGTATTGGTGGGATATTACGAGCAAGTCCTGGAGGATTATTTTCTTCCCATACTCCTGGAATGTCAAATAAGGATTCATCACTCTTAGGGTTAACACTTGTCACTATGGAATAGAAGCGTCATTCTTCTTCCCTTGGCACCGATATCACCATTATGCCTGGTAATCCCTTAAACTTCAGAGATGTTAATCCATTAGGTAAAAGGTTATCTGAGCTTAAAGCTTCGATAATAGATCTCGTCCTAAAAGTTGAATCGGACACTCTGGCATATATAGGAACTAATGCTTCACCACATGGCCTCTCAGAATACAAGTGCGACTCTTAAGAACCGGTCTAGCTGCACTTCTCCCAGTAGCTCCTATCACAGTTATAGTCTTCCCCGAAGGCGGAGCCACCATCTTAGTCACCACAGAATGTTCAGCACCTGTGTTGATCATGAAAGAACTTCTCTTTCCCCCTATTGCTACATCGACCATAGGCTCCGCTCGACCAAGTGGGATGGAGCTCAGTCGGTATCAATAGTCTTCCATGATAGTGTCAGCCAGACCCGCAAAATCTCTATCCTCTCTTTCTCTAGGTCTCTGCGTGGGTGGATAGTATCTGTCTCCTTGAACACTTCCTCTACTATTCCCATCATTCCCTCTAAAACTTCCTCTTACTCTATAACTACCACTATAACCTCCTCGTACCCTTCTCTCTCCTGTCTATCACCTTCATACTACTCTCTCTGTGGACACTCACTCTTCCAATGTCCCTCCTTTCTACAATACGCACATTAATTCCTACTTAAAGTCCCTTGCTCAGCCTATTCTCGTCTCCTCTATTCACTTCCCTGTCTTTCTACACTTAAGATAGCTACCGCTAGCATATCTGCCTTTTTCCTCATTTTACGTTCTTGCTCCCACTTTACCTCTGTCTCCCTATTACTATCACCTTGGGCCTGGCTGACAAATGCTGAGTCTATAATTCGGAAGTTTTCAGGATTGAAAGGAGTGTACAATCTATTTGACTCAAGCAGTGTCTAATATGGGACTTCGGCAAGGCTGCCCAATAATAGGTTCCAGTCTAGGATTAGTAAAATAGGTGAAAGGGGGTGAGCTAATTTTATTAGTCGGCATTTGGTGGATGAAAAAACGTTTTTGTTTAAAGTGTTAAACCAAAAACCTACCAGTAGGTGTCACCAGAGGGTAATTGTATCAAAATAATCTTTATGGGTCTAATAAGAAAACTCAACTTTTAGTATATTTATACATAAAATAAAACCTTATAGCAATAAATATATTAAAATAGGGTAAGCAATCCTACTTCTATCTGTTATAAACAATGTATTATCAATGTAACTCCCGAAGATGGCCCGTAGGTGGCCTAGAGTGCCTCCCTAAAGTCTAATGAAACAGATAGACTTTAATTAATTATGTCCCTATTTTATTATTACTTATTTTAATCAATGTCCACCCTGATATCTAGGCCTGATTAAATCTTTAGTTCTAAAGTAAATTAAACATCTCAGTTTGTAGTTTAGTAAAAAGGGGACATTTTGGACAAAGCTGGGAGGGGCCCATCCAGTAACTAAAATAAAGACCATATACCATCTGATACCATTGATCATTGATTAGGGGGAGGGGTAGTACAGAAATACAAGAGTTTGAAACACAGGAACAGATAGGTATGTGGGTAGGCGGGGACAGTAGAGCAGGGAGAGTGCAAATACTGACTATATACCAGTTTTGTGAGTAAGAAATGGGCGTGGCTACTCTGGCTCTGGAGGATGTTTGGGGGGTTGGTAATCAGATGCCAGGGGGGGAGGGGATATCCAAAGCAGTTGTAATTAAGTCCTTAGTTCTGACCACCATATGGCTACATTGTTTCCCATATGACACAGTTTAACTCCAACAGTCAATATATAGAAACTGATCATAGAATTCCGGCCTACTAGTTACAGCCACATGTACACCCTGCACTAAATTTAAGTGAAGACTGCTACATGGAGGCCATGCGGCCACCAGGACAAGCTACTCCCTACTTTTTTTTTTTTTAAACATACAAGACAAAGCCTTGTGAATCAGAAGATTATTTCAACAGAGCATCTGATTCAAAAAGCTGTACAAATATACACACAGTTTCAACAGTCACACCAATCTCCTTATCACCAGCAACACATTGCGCAGTCACTAGGCCCAAACACACACACAGGATCCTCACATGCTCAACAATATCACGACGTCGCACACACGAAATTAAATCAAAAACCCACCAAAGACTATACACTTATCAATGTAACTATTATTCAAACCATACAACTATCCACGCTATTAATCCATATAAACTAACCGATCACATAACATTTCAACAAATTTCATCTTTACAATTATCTGTACTATAAATCAACTTTTGACTAACCAACTATATCACATTCTAGTAACCTCATCTTTACAGTCAGTGGTTATGGTACAGTTAGTAAGTGGTTATAATACAGTTTTAAAGTCACAGATCAGTTAGTAACAGTTATGGTATTATACATATAACATAAAACAGCAATTGTTAGTAATTTTTACACAATGTCAGTGGTTATGGTACATGTCAGTAGTTATGGTACCGTGCGCTATTTTACAGTTATACACACAATTTACACTCCCACTAGACAGCAGAGCTCTAACTTTCTAGTAGGACATACAAGTTAACCAATTCACCAACTACAATATATTTAACAACATTTACAATAATCCCAACTATTCTAACTGGCCAGCACCTCGAGAGCTTTCGATCTATTTATACACCAGAGATTCGATAAGTTCTTCGCTGCCCAGACACCACGTATAGCGAACTAGAGGGCAGAATTTACACAGTACCCAGCTAGTCTATTAAACTATCAATAAGCTAGTGGCTGGATTTACAACAGAGCACACTTAGTTAAGATAGGGTGAAATCTAGCAAACTATAATATACAACAGAGTATGCTAGTCTCCCGGTCCCCCCGACCTAGCGAACAAAATTTACACCCTAGATACGCTAGTCAAGACAGGACACCGGTGTCCGACATGAGCTATTTACACCAGAACTCAGTCTGACCCAAACCACCTATATTAGACGGGCTGACTACAGAGCGTCTAATTTCCAGATAAGTGTTGCGCTTTCACTTCTTCCATCCATAAGGACAGGGCAGATTCCAATAACCGGTTCCAAATATAAAACCCCTTGTGGGTCTACCGCTCTAACGGTATCAATCTCACCTGTTAATTACTGGACCTGGGTTCACTCATAGACGGAACAATCCGGGACTCACTGCGCAGAAGCCGATGATCTCCTGGACAAAAGGCCAGTGGCGCCGAGACGAAAGGAGGTCCACGCAGTAGAAGTCCAGGATTGTAGCGTAGAAGGTTTAGTAAAAGTTTACCGTCTCAAATCTCTGTGCCAGCTTCCATGCAATGAGGTTCCCGGCCCAATTGCACCAGAAATGTTGCAGTGTAAGCATGCAGAAGCCAAACACAGAAATATTGGACACAGGTCTTCAGGAAGTAACAGGCCTTTATTCACATTACCGATCGGGTCTCAGATGAACTCCTGTTCCAACATTCTGAGAGACCAACACATAGTGTACATTCCTTATATAGCACTATAACTCCTCCCATTAATAGCTACACCCACATATACCTTTAACCAATCAATGAGCAGACTATAGACTTGTACATCTAGTCAAACCACATGGCTCATCCAAGACAAAGGAAATAAGTGCAATTTCAGTTCCTGCATTCCTGCACATGCTCAGTACACTGATGACAGTATCCTAGCTACATGTAGCTAACCAACTGACACAACATACACATATGCCACATGGAGATTTTGGCCTACTAAATTTTAACCATGCTGGAATCCCATCACAATCCTGCTGGTCCTCTTCAGCTCATGCAGTCTGTGCAGTACAAAAGTACAACACCAAGATCTTTTTGAGCATCCCACGGGAGCCACCATAGACAATGCCTTAGTGACAGCTGGTGGAAATGACAAAACATAATGCAGGTAGCTCTGCCTTTTGTCAGATTTTGTCAAGCGTAGGGAATATAATAAGACAAAGTAATCCCTATCTTGTTACATAGTTACATAGCTCTTAGTATATCTCTTGACAGCACTGGAATTTCAACACATTGTTTAGATATAAAGATTTTATATTTATAAAATACTCACTTTGGAGGGTGTGTGTGGCAAAGCTGCTTTAAAGCTCTTTTATGCAAAGTAATTTGCTAGATTGCCCAAAAGCTTACAATCTAAAGGTTGCTTCTTGCAGAGAAGAACTGGTATCACTGCTTCACTATGAGGAGGATTGCTTTCTGATTTGAACAAGTGTTAGAAATTAGTGGCGCAGGACACCCTTTTCTTTTCTCTAATAGCTGGGAGGGTACAACTAAAGACTTTTGTAAAAGAAAACAGACAGGACTTTCAGTTAACACCTGAATTTCTTTAGCAACCAGAAGTGTTTCAGGGAAAGGGAGCCTTTGATTTACAGTATGTCTATATAACATCTTGCGTGTTTCGTCAAAAAAATACCCATAAGCAGTTTAAGTATCAATCTCTCCATATGGCAATCCTTATAAGCCAGTTTTTTTTTTAAAATGTGTTCCTGTCTTCTCCCTTTGATTTCAGTATCACCCAGATTTTCTACTGATTTGGATTCCCCAAATACATTGTCTGTGCTGGAGAAGATTCTGCCATTTAATATGTCTGCAAGGTATGTAAAATCAGCCTGGCTTTTACTATGATAACATTTTGACACAATATCTAATGTGAAACCATTTATTCAAAAGATAAATCTCCTGTGATGTTCAGTAACTTGTTTTATTAGCTGAGCTATTTTTAATATATTTATACTGTTTTAATAAATCAATTGTTTTTTTTAAAGATCTCCTATGAAACTTCTTTTGTTAGATTAATTTAGGGCACACATCACTTTACTACTCTCTCCGCAGTCCAATAAATATTATTTATTTTAGTTTTCATGTTTGCTAGAATATTACAAACGTCATTTCCAAGTCTATAATATTTTCTATAACATTTTCCTACAGACTTATACTTGCTTTATTATATTTTTATTGAGTTTTGAATATATTTATAGAATAAATTAAAGCAACACTATAGTCATTAGAACAACTACAGATTATTGTATTTGTTCTGGTGAGTATAATCATTCCCTTCAGGCTTTTTGCAATAAACACAGTTTTTTTTTAGAGTAAATGCAGTGTTTACATTACAGCCTAGAGATACCTCCACTGGCCACTCTTTAGACGGTTATGTAATGGCCACCCAGGTAGTGAGAGGGTTGTATGCCGTTGGAGATGTCCTTTTACCGGCAAGAGGCTGTGCTGCAGAGTATTCCCAATATTCCATCAACTGGATCAGTGTAGAGAGGGAGGCAGAGCTTTTACAAGAGCTAGTAATTTAGCTGGATGCAGGTTCCCTTCAATAACGAGACAAGGCTACGTATTGCAGGTTAAGCAGAACTGTTTTAATGGGCACACTTTTATACACATTTTCCCACATGGTTACCACGCACGTGGACCTTGTTGGGCACTGTGACAAGACCAATCTCGCCACATTGCATTGGAGGAGCCTGGTTGCTCGCCTGTTGCCTTTGGAATATGGCCCCATGTTAAAAGGCTTGATTTTCCACTGCAAAGACATGAAAGCCGGGTCATTTGGTGCTTGCCCTGTTTGAGTGGTGATACCCCAGATAGCTATGCCATGGAGCCTATTCATATAATGAAAGACTATGGGAAAGACTTTGGCTCCATGGCAATTGAACTGTATGTGTGTGCTCTGAGCGCCATTCAGTAATAATGTGCGCTCAGATCTGAGCTATCTGGGGATATGTTGAATGTACCTGTTTTGTACAATGGCTGCACAGTTATATGTTTTTATGTGTTTTATTTTTTTTTGCTGCCATGTGTTCAATGGAATTTTGCCTCTGTTCTTGGAGATAATTTGATTACTTCCCAATTATCTCCAGGATAGAAGACTCTGTGGAACTGGTTTTGGGCAGAAAAGCCATGCTTCCTTTGGTCACAGAGGACTACTATCTATCTTTTGAACCACTGGACCAATTTGTATGATTTTGACATATGTTTGTATACGTGAATGTGATGCATACTTTTCAAGTTATGAATAATGTGGAAAAATTGTATTTCTCTGCTTGTGATAATTACATTACCCATTGTGTAAGGTAATTGAATCACAGGCAGAGGGCAGGAATTTGTGTGGGAGTGTCTGAGTGTATTGTATGTGTTTATTGGTTGTGTTCCAACACCCTGTGGGTGGTAATATTATACACTAATGTGTATATAAGAACAAAAAACAGACCACTGCTTGACCCTCAACACGGAGCTCTGTCTCGTTCTTTGGGGGATTTACTGTATGCTGTTAGAGACTGATTGCTAGGAGTGTAAGCCGCTTGGATGCTTTTCCTATTCGTCTGCTAGCAGCTATTAGTGAGGTTCCAGTTCGGGAGTTTGGAGTGCTATTTTGTATGCAGTTCGGGAGTTTGGAGCATTCCCTTATATGCGGTTCGGGAGTTTGGTGTTCTGCAGTAGCTGTGCCTGTATCTCTGGAAGGGGAAGATCTCCTAAACTGCGGTTTAACCCTTTTATGCTGAGGGTGCCGTTACAATTGGTGGCAGCGGTGGGATCGTTCCTACAGCCAGAAGGACAGCTACAGGAGACACCATTTCTTTGGACTTTACAAACTGAGGGCAACGCATGTCTGAGTACAGTGACCCTGACAGCATCAAGATGGAACCAGCAGTGGAGTACGATGAGGGTGTCATGGATGACAGAGATGCAGTTCGCAAAGGCATCTGGTACCAGGCACTGGGCATTGTGGAGTACCAGCGGGACGAGAGACTCCCCAAGGAAGACCAGCGATTGCAGAAGCGACTAGCCCTGTGGATGCCCTTCCTGGGAGAGCAGCCCCTGGAGGAATGGGTTGAAGGAATTGGAGCTCCGGGTATGGCAGGAGATTTGGCTGGAAGATGCCTACCAGGCGCTCTGGTGGTATGGGGCACAGTACCTGTCCTGGACAGCGAGCATGACAAGCCAGAGAGAGAGGAGTTTGATGGTCCTGGTTTGTTATGGGAGGCTTTTTCAGAGCCTGAGTTTGGGAGCTCTACACAAACTCGGTTCAGTGATCTCTTGGAGTGGAGGGAGAGCAGGTATGACTGGGACGACACTCATGAGATTGAGCAAGACCTTATTCACCTAGTGAGCCGAGAGATGGAGCTGGAGCAGGGCTACCAAGATCTGTTCCACTCCAGTGAGAAGGCTCAGCAGGGAAGCAGAGACCCAGATCCAGACCCATTCAGCTGGGCAGATATTGCAGAATGTTACTGGGGAGAACCCCAGATGGGTGGTGGAGATGGGACCGAGGTCTCTCCACCGGTCCTGCAGGGAATTGGGAGCCCAGTCTCCATTCCCCAGCAGCAGAGTGAATTGCAGGGAATTGGGAGCCCAAGCTCCATTCCCCAGCGGCAGGCTGAGTTACAGGGGACAGAGATAGTTGGTCCTGTCCCCCAGCGGCAGTGTCCCTTGCAGGGAGAGGAGAGCAGCGTCCTCCCTCCCCAGTGGCAGTCGGCTCAGATCCCCAGCGACAGTGTGAATTACAGGGAATTGGGAGCCCAGTCTCCATTCCCCAGCGGCAGTATGAGTCATTGGGAATTGGGAGCCCAGTCTTTATTCCCCAGCGGGAGATACAACAGGGAATTGGGAGCCCAGTCTCCATTCCCCAGCGGCAGAGTGTCCTACAGGGAATAGAGAGCTCAGTCTCTGCACTTACAGCACAAGGGGTAGGGACGGTCTGTTCTGCCTCCCAGCGACAGGGCTATTTAGCCAAAGGGGAGACAGTCGGTCTCCCCCTCCAGCAACTGAGTGGTGTAACCAAAGGGGAGACAGTCGGTCTCCCCCTCCAACAACCAGGCTTCAACCAGGCTACTCCCGTGGTAGCGCTGGCACCAGGGCAGAGTACCGCTGGTCTCTGCCCACTCAGCAACCCACCAAGTCAGTTTACCAGTCACCCACACAGCCGTGGTGAGGCACCTGGATATGGACAAAGTTCTCCCCTACCCAGGTGTAATAACCATTTATTGTGGGTGGGCTGTATTACTATTTGTATGTTGTGGGTGGGCTGCTGGACTAACAAGGGCACTGACCGGCAGGAGGTCTGATACCCTGTTAGTCTGTTTGGAAAAGGGGAGAGATGTGACGAGACCAATCTCGCCACATTGCATTGGAGAAGCCTGGTTGCTCGCCTGTTGCCTTTGGATTATGGCCCCATGTTAAAAGGCTTGATTTTCCCATGCAAAGACATGAAAGCCGGGTCATTTGGTGCTTGCCCTGTTTAAGTGGTGATACCCCAGATAGCTATGCCATGGAGCCCATTCGTATAATGAAAGACTATGGGAAAGACTTTGGCTCCATGGCAATTGAACTGTATGTGTGTGCTCTGAGCGCCATTCAGTAATAATGTGCGCTCAGATCTGAGCTATCTCGGGATATGTTGAATGTACCTGTTTTGTACAATGGCTGAACAGTTATATGTTTTTATGTGTTTTATTGTCTTTTGCTGCCATGTGTTCAATGGAGTTTTGCCTCTGTCCTTGGAGATAATTGGATTACTTCCCAATTATCTCCAGGATAGAAGACTCTGTGGAACTGGTTTTGGGCAGAAAAGCCATGCTTCCTTTGGTCACAAAGGACTACGATCTATCTTTTGAACCACTGGACCAATTTGTATGATTTTGACGTATGTTTGTATTTGGAGTATGCTGTTTCTGAAAATGTAAGTTATATGTGAATGTGATGCATACTTTTCAAGCTATGAATAATGTGGAAAAATTGTATTTCTCTGCTTGTGATAATTACATTACCCATTGTGTAAGGTAATTGAATCACAGGCAAAGGGGAGGAATTTGTGTGGGAGTGTCTGAGTGTATTGTATGTGTTTATTGGTTGTGTTCCAAAACCCTGTGGGTGGTACTAATGTGTATATAAGAACAAAACACCACTGCTTGACCCTCAACACGGAGCTCTGTCTCGTTCTTTGGGGGATTTACTGTATGCTGTTAGAGACTGATTTCTAGGAGTATAAGCCGGTTGGATGCTTTTCCTGTTCGTCTGCTAGCAGCTATTCGTGGGGTTCCAGTTCGGGAGTTTGGAGTGCTATTTTGTATGCAGTTCGGGAGTTTGGAGCATTCTCTTATATGCGGTTCGGGAGTTTGGTGTTCTGCAGTAGCTGTGCCTGTATCTCTGGAAGGGGAAGATCTCCTTTTATGCTGAGGGTGCCGTTACAGGCACTGAAGACACAAACTTAAAACCAATCATTTACAGTTACACAGCTAAACAATCCCATTTATTACTGTACATTCCTCCCCTCTGCTTGGGAGATAATTGAATTAATTGCTGTATCAACTCAATTATCTCCAAGTGAAAAATTTAATTTTTACCCAATTTTCTTAGCACCAAAACTACACATTTAATTTCAATAAAAGTTACATGTTTCTGAACAAGCATAACTAGGGGACAAGCATACTCAAAAATCATACTAATCCGTTCAGGGGTTCGGGAGATAGCTGATAGTCACATCCCTGCCTGGCCGCACACAAGGCTCTTGCCCAAAATAGTTCCATACATTCAGCTGGTGCGGCTGGTCCCTCTTCGTATGTTAAAAATACTGAACAGTTATTCTTTTTATTGTTCGTGAGTTTGCTGGTTGTGTGCCGCTCCGTTCGTGCAATACCTTTACCACATGCCGCCTCGTTTGTGTAATTCTGGGTGAAGCTAAGTGGTCCTGGAAGTCTCAGCGGTGTTCGGGAGTTTGAGTGTCCAAAAATAGTTCCAGACACTCGATGACCAAACACGGCTGAACGCATTCGACAAAACAAGATGGTCACCGCCACATGTTCGTACATATGAATGGACGGCTACCCAGAGAACCACTTAGCATGCTTGCGGTTTACGGTCTGGCACAGAGTCAAAAGGGTAATTGGCGGCACACACCTGGGCTGGGTGGTCTCTCGTTCTGCAGTTTGTTCGTTCATACGAATGGGATAGCATTGTCATTCGTTTTTCCATTCCTATGTTTAAATATAACACTGGTAACAAATCCAGGAGGTTACAATGTTTCAAGTCTGTTGTCCAGGCAACAACAGAAGTTCTGTTACAGGCTACTAGAGGTACTTCCTGGGACAGTGATGCACACTGTGCAGCACTGCCATTCAGTGTCTCCACCCTCTGCATGGAGACACTGAACTTTCCTCATAGAGGAAACTCCCGAACTGGAACCCCACGAATAGCTGCTAGCAGACGAATAGGAAAAGCATCCAACCGGCTTATACTCCTAGCAATCAGTCTCTAACAGCATACAGTAAATCCCCCCAAAGAACGAGACAGATTCAATGTATCTCTATGAGGAGATGCTGATTGTCCAGGGCTGTATTTGACTTGTGCTGGCTCTGCTCCTGATCTGCCTTCTTGGCAATCTCAGATAATTCTATGGGAAAACATTGTGATTTGCTCAGAGAATAACTTCTGAAGATGCCAGTCAAAAAGGCAGATCAGGGACAGAGACAGCAGCTGAAGACTTCGATATAGTTAAGATTTTGCTATATCTAGGGGGGCAAGGAGGGATCTGGGGGGGTGGGCAGGGGCTAGATGGTGTGATGTGTGCTCCTTTAACTGATATCTAGTATGTAATAAAATTAAACAAAGAAAGAGACAAGTTACAAATATTTTGTACACTGTAGAATAAAATGTGTAAATTTAACTTGAACCATTATCTCCTCCAGCTATACCTACGGACAACCTGTGCCTGGAACCATTACAGTGAAGTGTTGTTTGCAAAATGACATATATGGCAGAAGTAAAAACTGTTATAAAAACTCATGCTTAAATATTACAGGAAAGGTGAGTGCTGTCTGCGTTTGAATAGATGCTTTAAAGTTCGGTGATGTCTGATTTAGTGGACATACAGTTGTGCTAAATTGCATATTAGTGGATCAAAGTTTGCATACCCTTAGAGAATTAGTAATCTATGTACCATTTTGAAAGAAAACATGAGTGAGCAGGCAAAACACATTTCTTTGATTTCTTATGGGATTCATATTCAACTGTAGGTTATAACAGAATGGCACAATCATATAACAAAACATGTCAACAAAGAAAAAAAATGAAATGACCCCACGTTCAAAAGTCTGCATACCCTTAGTTCTTAATACTGTGTATTGCCCCCTTTAGCATCAATGACAGCGTGCAGTATTTTGTAATATTTCACTATGAGGCCCCTAATTCTTGCAGGTGGTATAGCTGCCCATTCGTCTTGGCAAAATGCCTCCAGGTAATGCAAACATTTTTGGTCGTCTTGCATGAACCGCACGTTTGAGATCTCCCCAGAGTGGCTCGATGATATTAAGGTCAGGAGACTGGGACTGCCACTCCAGAACCTCCACCTTTTCATGCCCTAACCACTGAATGTGAGTGACCCATGCAGAAGAATGCAAATTGTCTGCCAGTATTTTCTGATAACATGTTGCATTCATCTTGCCATCAATTTTCACAAGATTCCCTGTGCATTTAGAACTCACACAGCCCCAAAACATCAGTGAGCTACCACCATGCTTCACAGTGGGGATGGTATGGCTGTGACCATAAAGCTCTATTTTGGTCTTGTCACTCCAAATTACAGTATCTCAGAAGCTGTGAAGTGTGTAAAGGTGTTGTCAAGCATATTGTAACTGGGCTTTTTTTGTGGTGACCATGCAGCTCATTTTTGTTCAAGTATCATCGTATTGTGCTCCTTGAAACAGCCACACCGCATTTTTCCAGAGAAGCCTGAATTTCACATGAGATTAACTATGTGTTTTTCATTGTATCCCAAACAATTCTTCGTGCAGTTGTGACAGAAATCTTTCTTTGTCTACCTGACCTTGGCTTGGTTTTAAGAGAAACCCAAATTTTCCACTTGTGATTCCAATAAGTGATTGAACAGTACTGATTGGCATTTTCAAGGCTTTGGATATCCTTTTATAACCTTTTCCATCTTTATAAGGTTCCATTACCTTGTTAAGCAGGTCTTTTGACAGTTATTTTCTGCTTCCCATGGCTCAATATCTAGCCTGCTTAGTGCATCCATGTGAGAGCTAACAAACTCACTGACTATTTATACACAGACCCTAATCATAATTTTAAAAGGTGTGGAAAATTAACCTTTAATGGCCATTTTAACCTGTGTGTGTCACCTTGTGTGTCTGTGACAAGGCCAAATATTTAAGGGTATCAGGGCCATTTGGATGATTTCTGTTATAAATACGATTTGAAAATGTGATAATAAATGACTTCATATGATCAATATCCTTCAAAAAAATACATTTTTTTTGCATGATCAGTCATATTTTCAAAATCAATGCCAAAATGTGACAATTTCTGCCAGGGTAAGCAAACTTTTGAGTACAACTGTATCTGAATGTTAATGTGAATATATTAACTGATTGTTCCTTTTCCATATCATTAAAGCTGGACTCAGAGGGTCATTTCCATGGTGCCTTTGAACTAAAATCATTTGACAGTGGGTTCTCAGGATCCCATAGAAGTTTTACTTTGGATGCCATTGTGACAGAGGATGGAACAGGTGACGTATAGCCACAAAAAGCAAAAAACTGATCCTGCTCAGTGTGAAAATATTGATAAATATCTACAAAGACCCATCTTGTGCTGCGGTATTTACTGGGAATTACAAGTGTAAAAGAAGTCACAAGGTGAAACTGCACTGATACAATGTAGCCATGTGATGGCTAACCTTGACACCATGATTTTTTTCTGGACTACATTTCCCATTATGCTCAGCTAGCTTTTAGACTCTAAAAGCTAGCTGAGCATCACGGGAAATGTAGTCCAAACAAAATTTATGGTGTCAAGGGTAGCCATTATCATTGCTTGTCACTCCATGAATCTCCCGGGACAAGGGGAACCTTGTTGCAGATTTAAACCATCCTTGTTTTATTGGTAAGAGTTTTTAGAGTTTACAGTCTAGCAGAAATGGGACCTGTGATACACTATGTATAGACAAAGCTCTGAAATGAAATAAAGCTTGATGAAATAAGACATATTGGATGATTGTAGATATTTATGAGAGACAAGCTTACTGTAATGATTTAGAAGCTTATTTTAAATAGATACATGTCGATGGGGTGTTTAAAGATGATAGATGAGTTCTAGATATGGGGACCTATTCTGCTCTACTTCAATTCCACGAACAGGCGAAAAACAAACATGACACAATCAAAACATGTAAACCTAAAAAGTATTTAACCCCTTCCCGACCTCCGACCCATCAAGTATGTCCGACAAAAAAAGTCCTTAACCCTTTAAGGACACATGGCATGTGTGACACGTCATGGTTCCCTTTTATTCCAGAAGTTTGGTCTTTAAGGGGTAAAAGAGCCACTATAGTCATCCAGACCACTACAGTTCAATGAAGTTGTCTGGGTGCCAGGTTCCCCAGGTTTTAATACAAAGAGATATGTGCACAATATGGAGGAGGGTGAACATGAAGCTCTAACACTTAAAAATAGATAATATACATACATACAAAAGATGGAGCTTCTGAATAGTAGTTCAACAGATATTCTGTAAAATAAAATTATACAACAATAGTGCAATACAGTATTGATAAAAAGCTTGAAAAGTAAAATACAAGAGTGGTGTCACTCACAGGCCTGGAGTCATACCCTCATATGACTTGGATAATATGCGCCTTTGGACCATCCCAGGATGTCCAGATCCTTCTTCTCCAGATTGTTCTGTGCTTTATTGACCCTTAACCAGCTCAAGAATATGCAGATGCCAGGTCAGAGAGATTTCTTTAAGAAAAGGTGATTTATTGATCCAAATAAAAATTACACAATATAAAAACAATAAAAGTGTACCAAATAAACTTCTGGGTAGGCTGTATAGTCCGTAACAGTGTCCAAATAAAAATTACACAATATAAAAACAATAAAAGTGTACCAGATAAACTTCTGGGTAGGCTGTATAGTCCGTAACAGTGTCCAACCCAAATAAAAATGTATTGGACACTGTTACAGACTATACAGCCTACCCAGAAGTTTATCTGGTACACTTTTATTGTTTTTATATTGTGTAATTTTTATTTGGATCAATAAAGCACCTTTTCTTAAAGAAATCTCTCTGACCTGGCATCTGCATATTCTTGAGCTGGTTAAGGGTTAATAAAGCACAGAACACTCTGTGCTTTATTGATCCAAATAAAAGTTACACAATATAAAAACAATAAAAGTGTATTTTACTTTTCAAGCTTTTTAGCAATACTGTATTGCACTATTGTTGTATAATGTTATTTTGCAGAATATCTGTTGAACTACTATTCAGAAGTTCCATCTTTTGTACTTATGGATATCCCCAGGTTTTAACCCTTCAGATGTAAACATCCAATGTTTACATTGCAGGGTTAATCCAGCCTCTAGCGGCTGTCTACCTGACAGCCGCTAGAGGCGCTTCCCCGACGCTCAATGCGAAAATCGCATTGAGCACGCAGGATGTCCATAGGAAAGCATTGAGAAATGCTTTCCAATGGGCATTTTAATTTTTTTTTATAATTCTTTATTTTTGGTGCAAATCTTGGCAATTTTGACAAAATAGGTAAAGTATGCCACAGCGGCAAATATAAGTCGGCAGACAGTTGTCTTAACGGTATGAAGCATGACATTGATGAACATTGCACATTTTCTATAAATAGCTGTCTAGACAATGGTTACTAGCTGTCATGTCTATAACATCTATGTTCCTATACAAAAGCAGCACTCTTGATCCGAATGTGTCTAAAGGTTTTTCTGTATGTAGGAGGGGTTGGTACGCCGCCTGGACCATCGTGGAGTACTATCAACTGTAGTGATTAACCCTGTTTGTACATTTTGCTTTTAAAGAAGCCTCTTGTGTAACATTTATGTACAATGACAGGTACCCTCTTGTGGTGGGAAGTGCTCCTTTGTTTGGGCCTTTGTAGGGCGAGAGATGTAGTGCCTACTAGGTATCTAAGGAACCATGGTTCCACTAGCCTTGTACCTTACGTGTAGGGTAGGTTTAGCAAAAGACATGTCTGTCTAAAGGTGGGGTTGACCGCTTGGTACGGTCAACATGGGTCAATGCAGGCTGCGTTGTTGAGGCTTGGTTATGTCCTATATCTATTTGGACAAGTGTTATCTTATGGTATATGTAGTGCAGGGAGCATATCATTGCCTGCTAGGGTTTGTGGAGTTGTGTGCCTAATGCGTTTGGGGAGTTGGTGAGCAGTCCGGGCCAAAGTGATGAGGCTGTTATAGGTCCCCAGTCCCTAAGGGTGGTGAGCTTAGAAGCTATACTGGGTTGGAGACATGTAGGTTAGTCTAGTGTGCTAGGAGCTGAGGTTGTGTGGGTAGCCCTGGGTATACCCGGTCTGGTCCGCTTGGTGCGGAGTGATGTTTAAGGGTCATGTGGGTGGGTAAGTTAAGGCTGCAGAGTGGGTAGTGCCCCTTTACCATGGGGGGGGGGGGAGGAGGTTATGTTGCCGGGGTTGGGTGTCATGGCCTTTGTGGGCCTCGTCTGTGTATGGGCACCAGGTAGGGTTCTAAGCCCTTAATAGCTACCATATGCAAAACAAAAGAACATTAACTAAAGATAGAGATTAACAAAAATAAACATTTTATTATGTCATTGCGGCATCAGGTTGCAGAACTTTGACTGTCTATAGGGACAAAGGTGTCTGCCACATTCCACTGGTGAGACCGAGGCGGATCTGTCGAGGGAGTGTTGCGGTCATCTAGACCCAAGGCTGTTAGTAGTGCATGGTCGTCTTTAAGATCCGCTGCCTTGTACGTTTTCCCATCATTAGTAGCTAAGAGAGAGCCCGGGTCGCCCATCTGTATGAAAGTCCAGCTTTTTGCAGGGCTGTCGTAATGGGCTGCATTGACTTGCACCACAGCAGCGTGGTTCGGCTTAAGTCCTGGAAGTGGGATATAGTGCAGTCTTCAAATTCAAAGGCAATCTTTCCTTTAAGGGCCATCATTAGGCCTATTTTATCAGACAGGGTTTGGCATCTCAATATGATATGCCAAACCCTGTTGCGGGAGCTTGGGGTGATTTAGCAATGCGGTATGCCCCCTCAAAGGAGAAGTATTTAGCCTGTCTCATTAATAGTATGGTGGCTACCAGTCATCTGATAAAGTGGTGGAGTTCTTCCGGGGATACTGTCTCAGGAACCCCTCTAATCTTTACATTCTTCCTCCTGCCTCTGTCATCAAGGGTTTTACCTTGCCTTGTGATTGCAGTTGTGTGCTATTTGTAGTTGGTGCACCTTGTTGCCAAGTGATTGCAGTCCCTGTTTAAGGTCCATAACCTCTTCTTCTGTGGCTCGGGTCCGTTCTGTCACAGCTTGTACTTCTGTAGCCATTAATGCCAAGTCTGCTTTGCACATTTGCTGCAGCATATGTTGCAGGCCATTTAACATGGTTTGGATATGCTGCTTAGTGGCTAGTGCTGAGTTCTCCGCCGCCTGTAAGGTCTCTCTGCCTGGTGGGCTGTGGGGGCGCTATATATAATATATATATATTTTTTCTTTTTTTATTATCTCTCTACCCTCCCTCCCTCTCCCCTGCCACTGATCGGTCTTCTTATTAAAAAGTTGTAAAAAAGTAAAAAAAAAAGATATATATGTTAATAAATATATATGTGTATATGTATATATGAGATATATATATATACCTATATTATTATATATATATATATATATATATATATATATATATATCTTATACATAACATCATACTAAGTGTATTTTTTATTAATATATATACCGTATATATATATATATAAAAAATAAATAATTATTAAAAATAAATAAAAAACTGTAAAATAATTTAATTTTTATATATATATATATATATATATATATATATATATATATATATATATATATATATTTATTTGTGTAAGGGGCAAATAGCCGTATATGGAGTAAGGTTCAAGTAAGAACTTGGATAGTATAAAAGAGCAAGTCGGTTGTGGTGTGCCGAGACTGCCGATATGGTAGGCCTGTAAATAAAGAGGGCCCACCAAGGATTAAGAAAAGTAACGTAAAGGAAAAGAAAAGAGAAAGAGATAAGATTGAGGAGTGGGTGTGAGGGTGGGAAGGTAATTCAGAAGCTGACCTTGATCAGTATGGAGTCAGGTAAGGGGTATACCTTATATAGGGGAGTGAGTTAACTTAAGCCCCTCCCACAATTACAGGCCATATATGGAGTAAGGTTCAAGTAAGAACTTGGATAGTATAAAAGAGCAAGTTGGTTGTGGTGTGCCGATACCGACGATATGGTAGGCCTGTAAATAAAGAGGGCAAAAGTGAATAACCAAAAAGATTTAATACAGTCAACAATAAATACAATTATCCAGATATAACTTTAAATGCATTTCTTAATTCTTGTGTTGACTTGGGTATAAAAGTGGTATAGGCGGATGACTTCCAACATCCCACTTTATGACTTTATGACGTGTACTGGTATGTTAGCGCTGGAAGCAGTGGAGGCCGCCCCTATGCGAAAGGAGTGAACCGAGTAGTGAGAAGGGTTGAAGCCTAGCATTGTTAGCAGGGATCGGATTTATCTCATGAACGTAGTGGTAGTGAGTACAGAGCCGTGTAGTGCGAATAAATGTTGTGATGGTAGTGATGTGGTATGAAGAAGGTAGGCGTCTAGGGCCTATCATTTGTTCTGGGTAGGGTAATAAGTGATTTCCACTGGGGGTGCGTGTTGGCTTGTTTTTGAGAGGTAGTGCCAATATATAGTGGTCCATATGTTTGCGTAGGTGCATGTGTAGAAGGCATCTGTCTGTCTGAGTGGTAGTGATAGTAGTGAATTTCCTTGGCCTAAGGAACCCGTAAAAGGCTGTGTACATGGCAGCTTTAATGACTTTATTGGTGGTAGAGTGGAAAGGTTTGGAGTCTAATAGGTCAGATAATGACTGAAAAAGTGTATTGTCTATAGGTAATCTCTGCAGGGATTGTGGATGCACAGATTTTGGAATACCTCTGAGTGTATTCTTTATCTGATAAGATGCCATGAAGCTATGTGTATTAGGTGGTAAGGTTAGCATGTGATGTTGTATGCCTGTAAGATATAATTTAATGGTGTTGTAAGATAAGTGTAATGTAAGATGGCAAAAGGAAGCGAAGGCTATGATAGATGTCGTGACAAACGGTTGGGATATGTTGTGATCGGATAGAAATCTGGTGAATTGTGTGAAGGCTCTGTTGTACGTATTGTGAGTGTTGGATGATAATGCTAATTTGGGTAGATCCCTGTTGCATGATTAGTTCTAGTCCATGGTTAGCTGTAGGAACGGAGGGGCGGCTTTGGCTGCTTGAGTGGCTGACGGAAGTGCTAGTCAAAAGGCATGAAAGTTGAAACAAGACAGACTGTCAGCTGCTATGTTACTAATACCTGGAACATGAAAGCAAACCAAGTAGAAGTTGTGACATGCTGCCAACCACATGAGTTTCCTGATAAATCTCATGAGTGTAAGGGATATTGAATGGCCTTTGTTGATTATGTGACATATGGCCTGGTTGTCTGGTTGGCGACATGTCGGACAATCTGGGGAGGAATACGTTTTTACCATTCCAGGTGGTCAAGAATTCCTTCCACAGGTATAAGTCTGCTGTGGCTTGTAGATCCATGGATAGTCTATGGTTGTTGTGTCAGAAGTGTGGGAAAAGACAAAGAAGTCTGGATATGAAAGCCTGCCATTGTGGGATGATGTGCATGGCAAAGTTTAAGGAACCTATGAGGGATTGAAGTTCCTTGCGGTTGCAAGTACTGAGAAAGATATAATGATTTCTGCTTTTGAGAATGTTTATAATTTTCTCTTGTGGCAAGCTTGCTTGCATGGATGCCGAGTCAAGTTGTGTGCCAAGAAATGTAATGATGGTGTCTGGACCTTCTGTTTTCTTACGGGATACTGGGACACCCAAGTGGTCAAACAGACTAAAGGCTTCTTTAAGGCTTCTGGGGGGAAGGGAGTTCCCTTCTATCAGCAGAAAGTCATCTAGATAATAGATGACTATGGGGCATCTAGAAATGTTTAGTAATAACCAGCAAAGTGATTCTGCAAATGTGTTGATGATTTTTAGGCTACTTTTTGACCCAAAGGTTAAGCGGGAGAAAAAAAATAATATTTATCTGCCCATTTTATGCCATGTAAGTGCTAGAGTGTTGGGTGGATTGGTAGTAATTTGAAGGCTTTTATAATGTCTGTCTTACTTAGCCAAGCTTCGACCCCTGTTTGTATGATGGCTGCGATGGCGTGATCTATGGTGGCATATTGTAGGGAAAACTCTTCAGAGGGAATGAAGGAGTTGAGACTTGGGTTAGTAGAGGTATGAGGGGCTGAGAGATCTATGATGAGTCTCTGTTTAAGGGAAGGTTTCCTTGTAACAAGCCCTATGGGATTTGTGCGCCATGCCGTAAACGGTGGGGTTGAAAATGGCCCGAACAAGAACCCAATTCTCGGGTTATAAGCGTATTTACGGCCATTGGGTTCTGTTTTGATGATTGATGATTGTAAATTAGGGCATTCTAGACGGCCTGTGGGCATATGTATGATGCTAACAGACGTTAGGTACGGTTTAGAGTACATTTTATTTGGACACATGGTTTAAGCATGTGCCCTGAAACATTGTGAACAAATATGCAATAGTCTGCATGCACTGAAGCTACATGTGCCCACATTGAAATTATTGCAAATCTGGGATTTGCCAAAGAAAACCGGCCCGTCATGGAAAACAGCGGGGGCTGGTGCTCGCATAGTGCCGGCCCAGGATAGACCAGCAGGGACCTCCCCTGCCAGCCTTGGTCCATGGCCACCGCGGCCCACCAATGGCCGGTCCGGGCCTGGGACCAACATATTAAAAAATCATGCAAATCAGTTCAGGGGTTCGGGAGATAGATGGAAGTTCAATTTCTGCCCGGCCGCACACAAGGCTCCTGCCCAAAATAGTTCCATGCATTCAGCTGGTGCGGCTGGTCCCTTTTCGTATGTTTAAAAATTGGCACGAATCTAAGTGGTCTTGGAAGCCTCAGCGGTGTTCGGGAGTTCGAGTGTCCGCAAACAGTTCCAGAGACTCGACGGCCAAATCCCGCTGGACGCGTTCGACAAAACAAGATGGCCGCAGCCACGTGTTCGTGCATACGAATCGATGGCCACCCAGTGAACCACTTAGAATGTTGAAGTTGCAGTTTGGCACAGAGTCAATGAGTCAATTGGAGGCACACGTCTGGTTTGGGTGGTCTCTTGTGCAACAGTTTGTTCGGTTATACGAATAAATTAACAGGGCTGTTCATTTCCAATTCGTATGTTGGGGTTATAGGTTTATGAGTTCAACTGTTAACAATTATTATTATTTTATCATTTATATAGCGCTATCAGATTCCGTAGCTCTGTACAATGGGTGGACTAACAGACATGTTGTAACGGAACTCCCCGTACGCCGACCGAGTACCTTCCGTTGATGGACGCATCCTAGCTTGCACCGAGGACCACAAGCACCGCACCGGACTCTACAACCACTGCAGACTCCACAACCGCCATAGCTTAACTGGAGTCTCGCCGTCTTCCTTCCACCCTTTGTCAGCTTCTGTCCTCCAGGGCCATGTGGGAAAGACCTCTTCCTTCCACCCTGTATGAACCTCCAGCATCCAGGACTGTGTGGGGAAGACCTCTCCTCCAGGAGAGTGTATCAGGAACAGCTCTTAGAAGAGCTAGGTGATTTAAAGCTCAAGGGAGTATGCACCACTGCTGGGGAGAGAGGCCGGCTGCCTCACCTTCCTGCAGAACACACTGCTGCTGGGGGGAGAGACCGATTGTCTCCTCTCCCTGGGACTCACTCTGCTGCTGGGGAGGGAGACCGATTGGGAGAGAGGCCGCTGGGGAGAGAGGCCGGCTGCCTCCTCTCCCTGCAGGGTCCACTGCTGCTAAGAAGTGAGACAGGTTGTTTCCTCTCCCTGCCCTGGTGGTACCTCCAAGGTATACTGGGACTGACTGGAGCTGAGTAGGTACTGGTAATCCTGCTCCAGTTCTCATTCCTGGATGGCCAATTCAAACAGGTCTGGCTTTAGCCATCAGCCATAGGGAGATCCAGCATGGCTTTTCTGTAGTCATGTACATCCCAAAGCCATGATTCTGCAGCACTCCCGAACTCCGGTTCGGCAAAGGCCCCTCATAGAAGGACAGGGCCATTGTAATCCTTGCCCTCCCGTCTGTCGTACTTGGCCATTCCCGGGCACCCGCTGAACCGTGTACCGATGTAACGCCTGGTATGCTTCGTTGATCCACAGTTCACTAGGTGCCAGTGACTTAAGCTGCCTCACCAACTCCCACCTGGGCTGTTCTCCCAGCATAGGTATCCGTAGGCCCACTCGGGCCTGTAGTCGCTGCTCCTCGCTGGGGACACGCTCAGCTCGCCAATGCTGGACACCCTCCAGGGTTTAGTCCCACATCTCTTTTCTGGCGTCCTCTCTGCAGTCCAACTGGGTCGCCTCTGATACTGGCCCACCCAGTGGGGCCAAGAGGTTTTGTAACCTCCAGTCGAACTCATCCTCCACTTCCAGCGCTGTCCAGGAACTTGCTGGCTCCATACCGCTCCGTAATAATCCCAGTGTCTCCAGGGTGCTGTTCATCTCACTAGAAAGCCATCCCACCGCTTCCACCACTGTAACGGAACTCCCTGTACTCCAACCAAGTACCTTCCATTGATGGACACTTCCTAGCTTGCGCCTAGGACCACAAGCACAGCACCGGACACCACAATCACTGCAGACTCCACAAACATCGTAGCTTAACTGGAGTCTCGCCGTCTTGGATCAGCTTCTGTCCTCCAGGACCGTGTGGGAAAGACCTCTTCCTTCTACCCTGTAGTAACCTCCAGCATCCAGGACTGTGTGGGGAAGACCTCTCCTCCAGGAGAGCGTATCAGGAACAGCTCTTAGAAGAGCTAGGTGATTTAAAGCTCAAGGGAGTATGCAGAGCATAGCAATCCCCAGTGTGATTATAGCAGTTCCCTCCAATAAGGAGACAAGGCTACGTATTGAGGGTCAAGAAGATCTGTTTTAATTAACACCAAAGGGCCTTCTTTTATGCAGGTTTACACAGGTTACACATACAGTACCGCCCACAGGGTTTTGTAGAACAGCCAATCAAACACAATACCATTCATTAAAGCAAAATCCTCCCCTCTGCCTGTGATATAATTACTGAACACAATGGGCTAACGTAATTATCACAGGCAGGAAAATACACAGTTTTACATAATATTCATAACTTTAGTATACATCACATTCACATAAAACTTACATTTTCAGAATCAGCATTCTTTAAATATGAACATAACTAAAAATCAGACAATTCCACACAGTAGTTCAAAAGTTAGCTGGAAGTCCTTTATGACTGACCACAAGCACATTTCTCTGCCCAAAACAGTTCCATAGATTTGGGCTGTGCGGTCGGTCTATTTTACACAGAAAAATGACTAAGTCCCATTCGAATGCACCAACGGGGCCATTCGTGCATTTGGCTCAGTATAACAGTGAGTTCAAACAGCCGAACGGGACTTAGTGTCTGTGGCTGAAAACTCAGTGCAGGAGAAGGTAAGAGTCAACGCTGTTCGTTGAAATGTGTAGCCGATTTCAGTTCCATGGATTTGGCTACACACACCGCTGACCGCGTTCGATTTAACAAAGATGGCCGCCGCCACGTGTTTGTTTGTACGAACTGCGGCCACCCAGCGGTCGGCAATTTACCTACAGCAGGCTCCAAGCCTGGGAGGTAAATTGCCTGCACGCTTCCACTTCTGGATGTTCCGCCTGTACAGTACTTGGTTCAGTAATTCCCATTTACTGAACCAAGTGGGAGAAAGCCATAAGAAAAGTATATATTTTTTTTTAATTCTTTATTTATTCCAAGGCAAGACTGTACATCCAAGACAGAATATAACACGTTATCACAGTATATTATTACAGTCAGGTTTATCTCGCATTTTCCTAAACATTAAACATTTGTTTCTTTCCTATCTTTGTAATTCATTGTAACAGATAGTGAGATTAGTAAACAGCCCGTCTCATATATAGCTGAAATTACAATGCAACCATTACTTGTTCCGTTTCCCATCCGTTAGCTTTTGAAATCATGTGTCTATATCAATTAGTAATGCATTGTATTAAAGAACGGATGGTAGTAGTAGAACGAACGTGAGAGATTCTCACATAGGATAGTATGATAAAATAGTAAGAAGGGACTAAGGGAAGAGGGGGGATCAAGAGGAAGTAGAGGAGCCGGGGGGGGGGGCGCAAGGGGTGTCAAGCTAGCTTGCCTTTGCCCAAGACTGGTCTGTCTGGGGGAGCCTCCAATTGTGGGTCTGTCAAGCATTCACTGCACTAGTTATCCAAGGGCCCCATATTTTTTCAAATGTTCTCGTGGTTCCTCTTACCCGGGCTGCTAGACCATCCATCAGGCAAGTATCTTTAATTTTTTGTATCACCGCAGAAAGACTAGGGGCCTCTCTATGCAGCCACACCTGTGCCAAAGATGTCCTAGCGGCCAGATTTAATCAATGCAATAAAGTTTGTTCTGCGTTAGTCCAATTTTCTATAGATCTGGACAGTAGGAATACCCATGGGTCTAGCTTAATCTCTTTCTCAAATACGTCTCGCAGCATCTGTGCAACTTGTTGCCAATAAACCTGTACTATTGGGCACTTCCACCACATGTGGAGATATGTTCCCTTTAGGCTGCATCCCGCCAGCATAGGTCAGTTGGAATTTTATTAATTCGGCATAATTTTACCGGTGTAGTATACCATCGAAATAGTGTCTTATATGATTGTTCCTGCAGCGAGACACACATAGAGGGCCGCGCGGCCACCTCCCACATTTCCTGCCACTCCATACCCTCCAATGTCTCGCCCAAGTCTGCCTCCCACTGATCTATGTATGTAATTCCTCGCCATTCTAGTGTGTTGTTGCATAGATGCGTGTATACATATGAGATCAAACCGCTCGGAAAATTTTCCTTTGCACACATCCTTTCGTAGAATGTCATCTGTGTCCCTGCGGCTTTCTTTACCTGAGGGTCTTGGGCATAGTCTCTAAGCTGGATATATCTGAAAAAGTCAAAGGGTTTCAGAGGGGTTCTGGTTTGCAGTTCCTCGAATGTTACAAATGACCCCCCCTCGAACAGGTGATATAGTCTTTGCTGCCCTGCGTGTTCTATGCCTCTGAAATACCGGGCTGTCATTCCCAGTGTGAATGCTTTGTTCATTAAGAAAGGGGTAAATGGAGAAGGGGAGGATATCAGGCTATATTTTGTGGCAGCTGCGTCCCAGATCTTCAGTGAGTTTGAGATTGCCGGGCAGATCATGCTAATGGTTGGTCTATGTTCCTTAGGAATCCACATATAAAACTGAGGCATATCCATTCCCATAAGGGATGATTCCAGGTCCACCCATCTTCTTTCCTCTAAGGGAGAGTGCCACAGCGCCACCTGGGCCAGTTGGGCCAGCTCATAATAAAAATACAAGTGCGGAAGGCTCAGGCCCCCTCTGTCTCTAGCTCGATATAGGATGTTACGTGATACCCTATGTTTCTTGTTCTGCCATATAAATTTACCAATGGCTTGTTGGAGTGGTCCCAGATCAGATCTAGTTAGTCTAATTGGGAGTGCCAGAAACAAGAACAATATTCGAGGCAGCACATTCATTTTCACTGAATGGATCCTCCCTAGCCAGGAAATTGCTTTTTCTGTCCAGTTTTCCATGTCTGCCATTAACGTCCTAATCAACGGGGTATAATTCTATTGGTATAATTGAGATGGGTCCGCAGTCAGTCGAATGCCTAAGTATTTAATGTTGTCTCTTGTTATTTGCAGTTGATGCGTCTTCCCTATATAAGTTATGTCCATCTCTGACATGCCTATGGGAAGTCCACTAGACTTGGTCATATTTACTCTATACCCGGCCAGTTCCCCAAACTTTGTCAAAACATCCGTTAATGCTGCCATGGATTCTCTCGGGTCCGCCAGAGTCAGTAATACGTCATCTGCGAATCCCAACACTACGTAGCGTCGCCCTCCTACCCCTTTTATATCCGGGGCTTTACGTATCGCCTGCAGGAGTGGCTACAATGAGAGAGCAAACAGTAAGGGGGACAAGGGGCATCCCTGTCTAGTGCCGTTGCTAAGGCTAAACGGGACTATCCTTGCTCCTGAAATGCGAATGTGCGCCCTAATGTTAGTGTACATTGCGCGAATCACTGTAATAAACTGGTATAGGATGCCGCAATGGTCTAGCACTGTGAATAGATAAGGCCATTTCACTCTGTCGAACGCCTTTTCGGTGTCCAACGACAATATCATCGTTGGTATTTTCCTGGTTGCTTGTCACCATATAAGGTCTACATTATGTCTGGTGTTAGCAAGTACTGGGTTCAATCTGACTGCCAGGATTTTTGCTAGTAGTTTTGAGTCATGGTTAATCAGGGATGTCGGGCGGAAGTGTTCTGGGACCGATATATCTCATTCCGGTTTCGGCAATAAAATGATGTCCGCTAGTGACATGTCTCTATTGGGTAGACCTCCGTCCATGAGTTCATTGAACCAAGATTCCATATGTGGGATGAGTTCTTCACGATAGGTTTTATAATAGTTTCCGTCAAAACCATCCGGGCCTGGTGCCTTGTTGCTTTTCAAGACGGAGATCACCATGTCTATTTCTTCCGCCGAAATCCGTTTCCCCAAGGCGTCTGTTTCCGCCCCATTTAGTTTAGTTAGTTCTAGCCCGGTAAGGAAAGTGTGTGTCTTGTCTCTTTCACCGTGCGAATCAGCCAGTTCTGTTGGCGAATGGTTGTATAGTTTTGTAAAGTATTCTGTGAACACTTTTGCTATGTCTATAGGGTTCGTTTGATATTGGCCAGAAGCATCTTATTTTAAAGGTCTGGGGACATAGTCTTAAAGGGGTATTGTTCCCAAAAGTCACAATATGTCCCCAGACGGTTCTTAAAGGGCCATACCCAGCAGGGTCATAATCATGAGGAAGGTGGCTGGCAATTAGGCTTTTCCATAAGCCAAGGACACAGGGCAATTTGTCACATAAAATCCTGGTTACAAACGGCAGTTTGTAACACATGTAATTGTAACCAGACAACTGGACGCACAGGAACAGAGGGGTGAAGGGCCCTGCTCCATGAGCTTACATTCTAGAGGGAGTGGGGTATAGTGACACAAAGGGTAAAAGTAGGGGTACGAAGTAGGTTGTTAGAAAAGTATTAATTGAGGGCTTACTAGGTAGTTTTTGACAGTTGCAGAAGAGGAGTCATGGAGGGTGGGGGTGAAAACCTGCTTGCAGTTTAATTGATATGCTTTCTTGAAGAAGTGAGCTTTCAATTATTTTTTGAATGAGTGGAGACTTGGTGAAATTCTTATGGAGAAGGGAAGGGAGTTCCACAGAAGAGGTGCAGCACAAAAAGAACACCCAGGCAGTGAGCCTGTGCGGTAGAGGTGATGGTAGCACCGTTGACTTGGAGGGAAACAGACACTTGAGGGAGGAAAGACCAGAAGTTCTGTTTTGGACAGGTTGAGTTTAAGGAAGTGAGAAGCCATCCATTTGGAAATCAAAGAGAGTAAGTCAGAGACACGAGTCAAGAAGGGTGGAGAGAGATCAGAAGAGGACAGGTAGATTTGCGTGTCATCCGCATAGAAATGATAACAAAAGCCAAAGGAGTTGATGAGTTTACCAAGGGAGGCAGTGTAGATAGAGAACAGTAGAGGACCAAGGACAGAACCTTGGGGGACGCCGACAGAGAGTGGTTGGGGGGAAGAGGCAGAGTCAGAGAAAGAAACACTGAAAGAGTGCTGGGAGAGGTAGGAGGAGCACCAGGAGAGAGCAGTATCCTGTAGACCAAAATTACAGAGAATACGAAGAAGCTGTTGATGATCAAAAGTGTGAAAGGCAGCAGAAAGATCAAGGAGAATTAGGATAGAGTAATGGGCGTGAGATTTAGCAGCAATTAAATCGTTGGATACATTGGTCACAGCCGTTTCGACAGAATGACCAACGCGGAATCCAGACTGAAGGGGGTCAAGCAGGGAGTTGGTTTTGAGAAAGTCAGTCAGTCTGGTGTACACAACTCTCTCGAGGATCTTGGAGACAAATGGCAGAAGCGAGGTAGGGCAGTAGTTGGATGGGGAGTTGGGGTCAAGACTGGTATTTTTCAGAATTGGGGTTACAGTTGCATGTTACAAGTCTGATGGCAATAAACAGGGTATCTGTTACAATGACGATGAAATCACCAGTACAAGTACAGTTTTTGTGTAAAAAAAAAAAAAAATGCAAAAAAACAAATAAAAACACTAACTTTGGCCAGCGTTTGTGACTAAGTGGCTACTGCAAAAGTCTGGAAATACTGCATTTGGAATATTCTGGGTTGTCTACATTTGAAAATGGTATGCCATGATGGTGTTATTTCATATTTCTGGGCTACCATATGGTCTCAAAAGGCAACACAGACCCAGCAAACAAATCTGGCAAACTGAATTGGACAAGCCCTATACTGACCCTTTAACTTCCCTAAACACCATAAAACCTGCACCATAAAACCTATTGTCATACTCAGGAGACTTCGCTGAACACAAATACAAAAATTATGATGAAATCACCAGTAAAAGTGAAATTTTTAGGTAAAAAAAATGCAAAAAACTTGAATGATAATTTTGGTGAGCGTTTGTGACTAAGTGGCTACTACAAAAGACTGGACAACCCCATTTTAAATACTGTTTGTTATGTACTTTTACAAATTGTATGCCATGATGGGGCTTATTTTCATTTATGGGCTGCTATACGGTCTCAAAGGCAACATGGGCCCAGCAAACCAAGCTGGCAAATTTCAATGTGCAAACATGGAAATGGCGAAAGCCCTAAATTTGACCCCTGTAAGTTTGCAAAAACCCATAAAACCTTTACATTGGGGGTACTGTTGTACTCGGGAGATGTTACTGAACACATATTGGGGTGTTCTTTGTCAGTAACACATAACGGGAACTGACAATCCATGCCTAAAATACAATGTGAGAGAAAAAATTACTACCCAAAAATTTGACAAAGACTGGTGGTAGAATTGGTGTATGTAAAGTGTTAAAATACCACCATTTGAAATACCCTAGAGTGTCTACCTTTCAAAAATGTATGGTTTGATGGGGGTAAATTACATTGGCTGGCTTCAAACATTTCCCAAATAGGACATGGGTGCATGATGACCAGCTGTGAAAATTCCAAGTTGGAAAACTGGAATGTGCACCCTCCAAATAAGGTATTTTAACCCCCAGAGAACCCGACACACCTATACATGGGTGGTGTGATGAACTACACTTCGCCACTGGCTTTTGGAGAGGCCTGCTTGCCAGCCTCTTGCCCTGTGACTATGGCCCCTGGGGTGTATTGCAGTTTAAAAACTTTATTTGGGCTTTTAAGACACTGTTCCTGCTCCTTTAAATATTATTGGAAAAGATTTGCACTTTCAAAATGGCACATTGGAGGGGCGTGGCTAGCCGAGCTACAGAGCGGTCAAGGTTTTACTGAGCTCCCGCTCCAGAAGTGCAAAACTGCCTATTTTGCCACAAAAGAGAGCAAACTTTAATGTTGCCGACACCTGAGGGACCCCCCCAAGAGAGAGATGGGGCGCAAACACCTAAGATTGGCCCAAGCTGGGAGCAACAGTCACACAGATATCCGACTGTCCTTCACCAGACCACCGCCGCAGGCCCAACTAAACATGGCGCCCGTGGAAACACGCAGCTCCAGCGACTCAGAGCGATCACTGGAGGAAGAGACATCCCAAGCACCCAATTCCAGCAGTGGGATATACCAGAGGTCTGAATCAGACTCAGACAAATCCCCCTCCACCAAGGGAGATATCAAAAACCTCCTGCGGGACCTGAGGGAGGTCTGGAAAGCCGACCTCGCTGGAGTACAGGAGGAGGTCGGAGGCCTGAACCGCTGTGTGAGAGAAGTGGAGTGCAGGGAAGTGGAGAGGGGAAAGAGGCTGGATGATACCAGCTCCCGCCTAAATACACTCACCCAACAAGTACAGCGCCTCTCCCGCACAGTTACCTCCCTAGAGACACGGCACCGACGAAAAAAACAACAGGATCCGTGGGGCCCCAGAGTCAATAGGCCAAGAAGCCCTGATCAGCTTTACCCACGAGGTCCTGAGAGAACTCGGAGTTCAGACGGACGCAGAGCGACCGCCAATAGTGACAGCCTTCAGGGTCGGGAAGGGCCCCACAGCACCTGCGGACGCACCCCGGGACATCATAGCCACCACCAGAGACACCAACGTGAAATCCTCTATAATGGCACGGTCCAGACAAAAACCAAGTCTGCTCAGAGCCAACACGAAAATCACAGTATACGACGACTTACCTTTTGCAGTCTTACTTGAGCGGCGTAGGTTCGCACCCACCACCCGGATCCTTCGAGACAAAGGCATTAGATACCGATGGGGACATTCGGGAACACTGGTGGTACCACATGGGGACACAGTACATGTTCTTTCGGCCTCCGAGGACCACACGGAGTTCCTGAGAGGCCTTGATCTGCCGGCACCACCTCCAGCGACACGGCAAGCAGTGGCAGCCCAGTCGACCGCGAACCCCACAGGGAAAAAGAAGCTAGCTGGAGACGCACAATCAATAGAGCGGAAAGACCCTCCATAGGACTCTCCAACCCAGGCGTAACCTAGCCGTGATGGCAGCGAGGGGAGGCCAACTACCGCCCACAAGGACACACCCGGGACTGATCTCTTGGACTTCCATGTGGCAAATCCTTAACTGAAGGCTAAACGAGTGCTCCTAATTGCTGATGTATTCTATTCTTTATTTTTATTTTAATGTTGTGTTTTTTTTGTTTTTTTCTCTCTTTCCTCCCTCTGGTTTATTCACATGTAATGCCGTGACTACTGTTATCAATGCTTTTACCCAGACTGGTTTTACTACTCGGACCCCCACCATGACTGAGTTTCACGGACAAGTAGAGACCCTTGGGACCACGTAGGTTTCACCAACACGCTTACAGTAAGGGGGGAACATGGACAGACGCAGACCACACCCACTATGTCGCACACAAAGACCAACCCAGGGACATATAGCACCGACACTTAATCAGCCAGGCCCCCATCGGAGGACAAGATAAGGATATTAGCCCCAGCCACCAACACCGGACGGACACCCGACCAGCTACAAATGATACGCCGGCAACCCAACTACCGTCCCAGAAGGGGGAGACATACGATGTAACTGTTTCTACCAATAACCCCCTGCCCCCCCCTTTTTTTTTTCTCTCATTACTTAACTTAATATTGTTTCTCTACCACGCTACTAAAATGACTTCTGTATATGGCTATAAGTTATCGTACATATAGATCCGTCTTCGGACAGGACACATGTTATTCTGTCAAACAACACTCATAACGGCGCAACATAACACTTTATGACCATGTGTAATACTCTGCCCGCAATCGCTGTTGTGGTGATGCGGGAATATGTGAATCACATTTAATGCGCTATGAAAATGAAAAATAAAGAATAAAAAAAAAAAAAAAATGGCACATTGGAAACAGCCGAAGTACCGAAGTAGTCGAAGTGGCCGCCATTCGTATGGTCGAACACATGGCGGCGTCCATTTTGTTTAGCCGAATGTGGCCAGCTGTGTTTTGCCGTCGAGTTCATGGAACTCAAATCGGACACGCGACAGCATGAACCCTGCTGAACTTTACCTTCTATGGAACTTCGACGCTTCGACGGGAGTTGAACAGCGTTAGAGAATTCGAACGCCACTTTAACATTGGGTATTTGCACAAATGGCCCCCGTTCGTGCATTCGAACAGAAATTAGTATTGGAAATAGACCAGGCGCACAGCCTAAATTTGTGGAACAATTTTGGGCATGAAAGCCTTGCTTGCGGTTGGTCAAAAGATACTTCCAGAAAACGTTTGAATCCCTGCTCTGATCTGGGTGATTTTTTGATATGTTGTTCACCCAGATCAGGGCTATCCAGGGATGTATTTGTGGGGATATGTGTTGTTTTGGGGTGTTTTCTGTGTTTTGGGTAAAAAAATGTGTGTTTTCTGCCTGTGTTTATTGAGTTAGTCCATTGTATACGTTCATTGGATCACAGGCAGAGGGGAGGGTTTGTGTACAGTAACTGGGAGAGTTCAAATGTAAAGACTCTCTCTCCCACTGTGTCATTGTTGGTTTGTGCATTTCATGTCCTGTGCCCCACAAGGTCCACGTGGGTGGTAACCTTGTGGGGTAATACTGTATAAAAGAAGCAGCTGTATCATTAAAAGTTCTACTTGACCCTCAACTCGCAGCCTCAACTCGTGTTTGGGGGGAACAGCTATAATCACTACAGTATGCTATGCTCTTCATACTCCCTTAGCTTCACAGAGCTAATTCCTGTTCCTGCTTCGCTCTCTGAAGGAAGAGAGGTTCACCCACCGGAGCCTGTAGCCTTGTCGTAGGTCCAGGGTGGGTAGGAGACAGCAAGACCCCAACCAAGCTGCGGCGGTTCGTGGGGTCTGCAGTGCTTATGGTGTCTGGTGCAGTGCTGATGGTCCTTGGTGAGCACTAGGAGTATCCTTCTACAGTCCAACCCTCAGATAGCTTGTGATATCACTGTACTCAGGAGATGTTGCTGAACACATATTGGGGTGTTCTTTGTCAGTAACTGTAGATTGGAGGGGTTTCCACCGCCAGAGACATCCCTTTCCTGAGTGTGAGGGGTGTTACGGCATTCCAGGTAGTCATCCAAGTAGAGAAGCTCTTATAAGAGTTAGTAGTGATAGCTATATAGCAGTTACCCACAATAAGAGACAAAACTCTAGATTAAGGGTGAAATCAATCTGTTTTAATGATAGTCACACTGGCCTTTTATGCAAGTCCCCAGCTAAGGGATACACCCAGGTGGACCTTGGTGGGGACAGTGATACAAGGTTATCAACCAATAATAACAGTGTTATACAGTGTGACACTCCCATACAGGACAGGCAATCCCTCCCCTCTGCCTGGGAGACAATTGAGTCAACTACTGTCTTTAACTCAATTATCTGCAGTCGAAAAAGAACATAAATGTAATACAATAATTTTAAAACACATAGTATCCCCTCATAGCCCCAATCAGGGGGAACATCATACACACACACACACACACACACACAGGCAGACAGTCACACACACAGACACACACAGGCAGACAGTCAAACACAGACAGACAGCCAAACACACACAGGCAGACAGGTATACACACAGCCACACACACAGGCAGACAGTCACACACACACACACAGACACACACAGGCAGACAGTAACATAGACACACACAGACAGACAGTCGAAAACACAGATAGACAGCCAAACACACACAGGCAGACAGGTATACACACACACACACACACAGGCATTCAGTCACACACCAGACACACACAGGCAGACAGTCAAACACAGACAGACAGCCAAACACACACAGGCAGACAGGTATACACACAGCCACACACACAGGCATACAGTCACACACACACACCCACACAGTGGAGGCAGTGCAGCTCCTGGAGAAGCAGGACTCCTTCCTGCTTCCCCTGCAGCAGATACCCGACACTTTTAGCTCCGCCCCCACCATCAGTTTAGCTCCGCCCCGCCGCACGGTAAGCTCCGTCCCGCCGCAATATTATTTTTTTTTTTGTTTTTTTTTATAATCCCGGACAGCCATGTCTGAGCTGTGTCAGCCTCATGGTGCCCTCTGCTCCCATGGCGCCGTGTGCGGCCGCACAGCTCGCACACCCCTAAGGCCGGCCCTGATTGGGGTGTTCTTTGGCAGTAATGCTTAAAGTTCTCCATACATGTATTCTTAAATTGCTATGTGTGTCAAAAAAATCACCAATTTATATATATATATTTTTTTTATGTATATATATTTTTTTATTTGGCATAGATTGGTGGTAAAATGGTTGCATGAAAAAAGTCAAAATACCTCAATATGAGATTGATACATCCAACTTTGTAAAGGACAACTTTACCTTTGGTTGTCTTCTTTTAAAAAATATACACATGTGAAGGGTTATTCAGGGATTCCTGACAGATATCAGTGTTACAATGTAACTTGTGTTAATTTTGAAAAAACTGGTTTGGAAATAGCAAAGTGCTACTTGTACTTATTGCCCTATAACTTTCCAAAAAAAAGCTAAGAACATGTTAACATTGGGTATTTCTAAACTCAGGAAAAACGTAGAACTATTTAGCATGGGTGTTTTTTTTAACATATTTGTTTTTATTTCGTTTTGTCAAGGTTGTCATACAAACAATAATATCAGCATTGAACATTGTTGACTTTGCCTGAATTACAGCCATATGTAGGGCAACACACCTTCAGGTCATTACACTAGGAGCATACAATACGGTGACATTTACTTACTTGCTGTGCTGTTGCTCGGTATAAATCCGGGCTGTGAGTGCATTGTGTGACCTTCGTGAGTCAGATTTTAGCAATCAGTTTAGTCGCCATGGCACTTTTGTGTATCTAGTGCATGGCCTAACAATAGTTCGTCCCACATCTGGCAGGCAATCATAGAATGAGGCAGAGGGAACAAAGGGGAGTTAAAATCAACCAAACTTAAACCCTCGATCTGGGATTCCTGCGTCTTATATTGGAGGTTAAGCAGGGGTGTGTGCTCATTGCGTTTATAGACTCGTGTATTATGACTGTGGCTGTTGGGCCAGGCCTGCTCTGGGTGTCCCTCGGTGCGTGAGCCAATCATGCCACAGCACCTCATGCTGCTGCACTTTCCGATTCATCTTTAGAGCCATACGCTCATATAAACAGACATTGTCTAGTCTCTTTGAAATCTCCTCCAGGGAGGGGATCAATTTAGTCTTCCAATGAAAGGCTATAGCAATCTTAATGACCGTTAGTAGGTTTGCTATCAGGGGCGTATGGTGTTTCTGATAAAAAGTAGGTAAAATGTGTAACAGATTGTAGCGGATGGCACTGGGCTGTCCTGGGAAATGTATATGTTTAAGTGGCAAGTTATATGTGTAGAAATGTATTGTATTCGTCTGATCGTTCGGTAGAATCATTCTAACAAGTAAGGGAATTGAACTACCAAACAGTCAGACCTCCCCGGTGTGAAGTGTGCCTTCAATTACCCGTTGCAACATTGTTGCGAACGGGTAATTGACAAGCTAGGCAGTAAGTCCTTTGTTCTCGGGTGTGGCCGCCATTCGGGAAACGAACATGTTGCGGCAGCCATTTTAAAACTCCCAAACAGCGGTGTTTTGCCTTCGAGTGTCTGGAACCCAAATCGGACACTCGACTAGGCGAACACCGCTGAGACCTCCACAAGCCCGGTCCGTTCGGTCCCAAACTACCGAACGGCCCCTCGTTCGGTAGACAGAAACAACCGAACGAGGGGATTCAGGCGAACCCTCCCTGGTCTCTGTAACTAGAGACTTTCGCACAATTTGGTCCCTTTTGCCAGGACCGACCGCAGGGCCCCATCGCATGGAACCCAATTCAGCTATTCTCTCCAGCGCGGTCGGTCTTTTTATTCCCTCCATAAATTTCCTGAACCCCTGGTCTGATCTGGGTGATTTTTGGATATGTGGTTCACCCAGATCAGGGCTACCAGGGGATGTATCATTTAAAGCGGTACTCCTAGGTTTAGGGGTACATCCAGAAACGGGGGAAATTGGTGTCCTGGATAAGGGGATTATGATGCAGACTGAGGGGAGGAGATGTGTGGGAGGTTACCAGAACAGGATTGGCTACTGTACTAATGAATGGAAATCCCTCCCTTGCATGGGGCATGCTTTATAAGGCCACTGTGTGAATAAATCTTTAGTTCTGCTCCTGATACTGTGTGTCGTCCAGTTATTGGGAGTGCTGTTGGGATACTGCTGTATTGTTTTACCTGCTGGATACTTTGCCTATGGATTTATAATTACTTGTTCCTGAGCCTCAGTGGGATCTACAAGTGGAGGTAGTGAAATACTAGCTCTCCGCTACATTGGTGGCAGCGGTGGGATCCAGACTCACAGAGGAACAAGCACCAATGGAGTACGGATGGAGAATGATTTTTCTACACTAAAACGCTCCACACTAAAGGACCTCCTAGAAGCAAGGGTTATTCAAGCCAGCAACAAAAAGAAAGTGGTACTTATTACAGAACTCATGGCAGAGTACCAAATGGATGGCGGTTCGGTTCCCGAACAGGGGGATTCAGCGGAAAGACAGGAACAAATGGAGTTCCAGAGACAGTTACAATTTAGGCTGTCTTTTTATGGAGACCACCCTCCAGTGGAAATTATTTCCAAGACCATGACAGAGGTCCAGGAATTCATACTAAGGCAACGGACAACAACAACCCCAGAACTCAGCCCTGCAGTAAACACGGCACAGGAAGGTAAGCCTAAAATACCGGATCAGGCTTTTAAAACGTATGTGGAGGCAGAGGAAGACATAGGTGCTTTCCTGTAAGATTTTGAAAGACTGTGTGCCCTGCATCGAATCAGTACAGAGGACTGGGTACCTATTTTGGCAGGACGTTTAACTGGGAGGGCAGCAGAGGCGTATCGTACTGTCCCAGACGAAGAAATCAGGAATTACAGTAGAGTGAAAGAGATTATACTGGCCCGGTATGCTATAACACCAGAGGCATACCGGAGGAGATTCCGGGACTTAAAGAAAGCGGAGAAAGACTCACATGCAAAGTGGGCATGCAGGTTACAATGGGCGGCCCTCGGGTGGGTACAAGCTAGCAAGGCACGGTCCATGGAGGACGTGATACAAATCCTGCTAATGGAACAATTTTATGATGGGGTGACAACAGATGTCCAGGAGTGGGTAAGGGACCGGAACCCTGCATCCCTCACAGAAGCTGCAAGGAAGGCAGATGATTATCTGGACGCACGCAGACAACAAAAACCCGCAGTTCCAAAAGTAGCATTAAAAACCTTTGGGGGAACCAACTACACCCCAGCACCACCGATACAACTACCACTGCCACCACCACCCGCTGCACAGCCACGATTTCGCCAGCCGAGCTCTGGGCCCTGTCATCACTGCCAGAAATGGGGGCATTATAAACGGGAATGCCCACAACTGCGGGATCGTTCCATCTGGATCCGACCAGGCCCTCCACCACCACCACCAAGAGCAGCCGCAGCACACTGCTACCAGGACATAATTGCAACACCATATGGTTCAGCAGTGCCCATTACCACCGTGGAACAGTGGGAAGTATTGCACGAGGCAGACCCGGTACAGGCAAAGGCTGATAACCAACAGCATCACAGACAGACAGTATACCTAGAGGGCAAAGCTGTACAAGGGCTCCGTGATTCAGGAGCCACTATTACCTTGGTCAAAAGCCACTTGGTAGCGGACAAAGCCAAAACCAACAAAACCGTAGCCGTCAGGGTAGCCGGGGGAGCCGTATACCGGCTACCTACAGCAAGGGTTCACCTGCATTGGGGAGCGGGGGCAGGAGAAGTGGAGGTGGGGTTAATGCCAGAATTACCAGCCGAAGTTTTGCTGGGCAATGATCTGGGAAGGCTCACGTCTGCATTTGAGCCCCAGATCCCGATCACAGGAGAGGCTCACCCTGTGGTCAACAGACAACAGGCCCGCACCCAGGCTCCACCCACACTGCCGGAGGTTCAGGTAAGAGACCCTTCCCCTTTCGCTAGACTGTGTCCCCTGTGCCCCTCCTAACGAGTTTGCAGCCGAGGTCATAACTGACCCCACGTTACAAGTATATAGGGACAAGGTTACAGCAGACACACCCGGGGGAGGGAGAAAGGTTTATCTGGGACAAGCAGCTGTTGTACAGGGAGTCTGACAAGCAGGTAGCCGGGTCAGACCACAGCGGTACCGAGCAGAGTTGCTCCGGATAGCACATGACATTCGGCTATCCGGACATTTAGGGGTCAGTCGGACCCGGCACAGACTGACCCAAAGTTTCTTTTGGCCAGGGATCAGCCAGGAAGTGCGCCGATATTGCAACACTTGCGATATGTGCCAAAGGGTAGGGAAAAGGGGGGACCGGCGCAAGGCCAAGCTACACCCCCTTCCCATAATTGAGGAACCCTTTAGAAGGATAGCAGTAGACTTAATAGGATCTCTCAAGAAAGCGAGCCTGTCAGGCAAGAGATATATCCTGACTGTAGTAGACTATGCCACTAGATATCCAGAGGCAGTGGCTCTGACTAATATTCACGCGGAAATGGTGGTGGAGGCCCTCATGCAGATATTCTCCCGGATAGGACTCGCCAGGGAGATTATCTCGGATCAGGGTACCCAGTTCACCGCCGAAGTCACTCAGCGCCTCTGGAAGTTCTGTGACATTAAGCCTATCGTTAGTGCCCCTTACCACCCCCAGACTAATGGGCTCTGCGAACGCTTCAACGGTACATTGAAACAAATGCTGAGAACCTTCGCAGAGACTCACAAAGACTGGGAACGATTCCTGCCTCACCTCCTCTTTGCTTACCGAGAGGTGCCACAGGAATCCACGGGGTTTTCCCCATTTGAATTATTGTTTGGCCGAAGGGTACGGGGGCCACTAGAATTGATTAGAGAGCATTGGGAGGGAGAGCGGAGCACCGACGGTACCCCCATCATACCATATGTGTTGGCCTTCCGAGATCGCCTGGAGGCCTTAACTCAGACGGTACAGGAAAATTTACAGGCGGCTCAGACCCGCCAGCGCACATGGTATGATCGGGGCGCCAGGGACCGTAGCTTTCAGGTCGGACAGAAAGTGTTAATTTTAAAACCTGTCCGACATGATAAGTTACAGGCCGCCTGGCAGGGCCCTTATAGGGTGGTGGAACAAAGGTGTGACACCTCTTATATAATAGGCTCTTGCGTTGGAACTGGAGGGCGACGCATTCTCCATGTGAACATGATGAAGCCCTACTAGGAGCGCTCCGAGGAGGTGACCGCCATATGTGTACCCAACTCGGAGGAGTTCGACAGTTTGCCTCTCCCAGACCTGCTGGGAGATGGTCAGTTATCTGGGGATTTAGAGGAAGGAGCGGAGTGAGGTACAACAACTTTTGAGGGAGAAGCAAGATACCTTCTCTCATGTACCTGGTTACACTCCTCTGGTTACACCCCAGGTCAACTTCCCATGCGCCAGACCCCGTACCACATCCCAGAAGCGGTGCGTGAAAATATGCGCAAGGAGATCGAAGAGATGCTCCAGCTGGGGGTGATTGAACCCTCAGACAGCCCCTGGGCCTCCCCGGTAGTACTAGTACCAAAACGGGATGTGACGACCCGGTTTGGTGTAGACTACCGGAGGCTGAACGAAAAGACTGTGTCAGACGGCTATCCCATGCCCAGGATAGACGAACTGCTGGACAGGATGGCTAGAGGACACTATCTCACCACTATTGACCTGTGTAAGGGGTATTGGCAAATCCCCTTAGCTCAGGACACCATCCCTAAGTCGGCCTTTGTCACCCCATTCGGCTTGTACCAATTTAAGGTCATGCCGTTTGGGATGAAAAACACCCCAACTAGCTTTCAGCGGATGGTGGACTGCCTCCTAGATGGGTTCCAAGACAATACCTGTGCATATCTAGATGATATTGCCATATTCAGCAATACCTGGCAGGAACACTTGGCCCACATAGGAGCGGTCCTAGACAGGATTAGAGAAACCGGTTTAACGCTGAAACCAGCCAAATGCAGTATAGGGATGGCTGAGGTACAATACCTAGGCCATCGGGTAGGATGTGGAAAGCAGAAGCCAGAACCAGCCAAAGTAGAGGCGGTAGCCCAATGGACCAAGACTCAGGTACTAGCCTTCTTAGGCTACCAGAAATTCGTCCCGAACTATAGCGCCCTGGCCAAACCCCTCACTGACTTAACCCGTAAGAACCTTCCCCGCCAAGTGACCTGGAGCCTGGAGTGTGAGCAGGCATTCCAACTGTTGAAAAATGCATTGACCAATGCCCCTGTCTTGGCAGCTCCCAATCCAACTAAACGTTTTCTTGTTCACACAGAAGCTTCTATGTTTGGATTGGGAGCAGTACTGAGCCAAGTCGGGGCCGATGGCGGAGAACATCCCGTGGCTTACATCTGTTACCCCGAGAAGTAAGCTACGCCGCCATCGAAAGCTGTTACCCCGAGAAGTAAGCTACGCCGCCATCGAAAAGGAATGCCTGGCTGTGGTTTGGGCCCTGAAGAAATTGCAGCCATATTTGTATGGAGAGCCCTTTTCCTTGCTCACGAATCACAACCCGTTGGTCTGGCTAAACAGGGTGGCTGGGGACAATGCCAGGCTGCTGCGCTGGAGTTTGGCGCTACAGCCCTTTGACATTAACATTCAGTACCGCCCGGGCAAACAGAATGGGTTGACGGGCTGTCAAGACAAACAGACCTGGAGAAATGATCCGTGAGCATCCCCGGACATCCCCAAGCTGATCCGTGTTGGATCAGACTGTGTATGCCGGCTTGTGGGCAAGGGGGAGCAGTGTAGCGGATGGCACTGGGCTGTCCTGGGAATTGTATAGGTTTTAACTGCATTCGTGTAAATGGCAGGTTATATGTGTAGAAATGTATTGTATTCGTCTGATTGTTCGGTAGAATCCTTCTAACAAGTAAGGGAATGAAACTACCGAACAGTCAGACCTCCCCGGTGTGAAGTGTGCCTTCAATCACCCGTTGCAACATTGTAGCGAACGGGTAATTGACAAGCTGGGCAGTAAGTCCTTTGTTCTCGGGGGTGGCCGCCATTCGGGAAACAAACACGTGGCGGCGGCCATTTTAAAACGCCCGAACAGCGGGAGCTTAATAAGGCCACTGTGTGAATAAATCTTAGTTCTGCTCCTGATACTGTGTGTCGTCCAGTTATTGGGAGTGCTGTTGGGATACTGCTGTATTGTTTTACCTGCTGGATACTTTGCCTATGGATTTATAATTACTTGTTCCTGAGCCTCACTGGGATCTACAAGTGGAGGTAGGCTATGAAATACTAGCTCTCCGCTACACAGATATCCCTCAGGTGACAGTGGAAGGGAAGTGTGGGTTAGCTTGCTGATCAAGGTTTGCAAGCCTAACCAGAGCGGTTTAATATCTTGGCATTCCCAAAAGACATGCAGTAAGGTACACTGGGCGTTTTCGCATCTCCAACAAAGAGGGGAGACAGTGCTGTACATCTTGGCCAATCTCATAGGTACCAAGTAAGATTTTACTGTATGCTTCCCACATGGAGAGGCTTCTGGATGCTTTCTTAGTAATGGAAATGGCCTTGTGCCATTGTTGTAGAGTGAGGTCCCTTCCTATATCTCTCTCCCACTGTGTCATATACTGGAGCTTGTGTGGGGTAGCATCTTCCCACAGGGCGTTATAACAGAGTGAGAGGGGCTTGACAGTATGGGAGGTCAGCAGGTATTGTGGACTGTGAGTTGTTTGTGTAGAGCTTTTGTGTAGTCCCCACCCTCTGTTTTTTGGTCTGTAGAATGTTTTTGACCCTCAGGTATAGGAATAGGTCTCTAGGGGAGAGGAAGAATTCCTCACGCAGAGTCAGGAATGGTTTCAGCGTGTCTCCCGTGAACAGGTTGTCTACCCTCATGATGCCCTTCGCCTGCCATCCGTGGGTGTCTAGGTCGAGAGAATGGGCTTTGCAGCGCTGTTATTGGGGCAAGCCTGATTAGTTCCCTAGGGTCCACTATGGTTGAGGCCCATGTCCTCTATGCCTGCAGTAATGTTTTTGTACATTGTAAGATCGGCCTTTTAATAATAGTCGGGGCGCCCACCCACATAGCCCAGGTTAGTTGTGTCAGGTATATACAGGCATCCTCAAAGGAAAGCCAGATAGGGGTAGGTGCTGCTGCTTCCGCCCTGAGTAGTCTTAGTCCCTGAGCCTACAAGGAGGCTCGGTAATAGAGCCTAACGTCCAGCAGGCCCAGTCCCCCTCGGCTATAATGGAGGCCCAGGGTTTTAGTTGCTACTCGAGGTGGCTTCCTTTTCCAGACGTGTGCGTTTATAATTAATTGTAACCTCTTAATGAGTTGGGATGGCAGCTCTATGGGGATGGTTCTGAAAAGGTGCAGTATATGCGGGAAAATCATCATTTTAATAGACCCTTAAGGTCTTCCCATGTGGACAGTTGGTTCTTGAGTTTCTGGATCAGAGGAACGTGATTCTCTTGTGGCAGTGTGCGTATGGATTTAGTGAGTTTTATTCCCAAGTAGGAGAGTGACTTCTTCCTCTAATCGAATGCGTAGGTGCTTTCAAGTTGTGTCGTGATTGTGTGTGGTAGTAGGATGGGAAGAGCTTGTGTTTTTGCAGTGTTATTTTTGTAGAAGGATACATCGCTGTACTTGGCTAGGAGGTTGTGGAGCAGTGGAATTGAGTGTGCTGGGTTTGTAATATATAGGAGAGCATGGGTGTTTTTTGGTGGTTGTGGATGCGTAAGAGATTTTGGGGGTCAAAGTAAGAAAAAGTGTTTTTTTTTTTAAAGTTTTCATCATAGTTCATAAAAATTTTTTATAATAAATGATATGATATGATGAAAGTAATGGTATCTTTAGAAAGACCATTTAATGGCGAAAAAAAAAAGTATATAATATGTGTGGGTACAGTGAATGAGTAAGAGGAAAATTACAGCTAAACACAAACATGGCAGAAATGTAAAAAATGCCCTGGTCCTCAACGGTAAGAAAATTGAAAACTGGTCTGGTCACTAAGGAATTAATAATGCAATTTGATTGATGTCACTTATTGAGGCAAAAGCCCATTGTTCGCTCCACAAAATTGTCTGGCTACTTTGAAGGCAATAAAAAGGACAATAGTGTGAATAAATCCAAGCACCGCAAATATAAGTATTTATGTAAGTTTTCTGCATTCTATCGTCATATTTTAACCTGATATTCTGTCACAGTTTAGGGGAGTCTTTAGGCCACAGTGGATTACAAATCCCCTATTACCTGGGACTTGAGAAAATGCCCATGTGAGCAAAAAATATGTTTAAAGTCACATAATAAAACCTTGATAACCACTGGATTCAGGTGTCAAACGAGTCTTACTCATTTCATAATATTCTGTGCTAAAGTATGGGTGCCCTATGTACCATGTTTAAAATAATTTTGAAATTGTATTGTCACTGTATAGTGAAGCAAACCTGTCTGACACTAGAGTTCCATTTAACAGTTATCGTTCTGAGACATCATTGATCATTTGTAGTGCACGACACTGCCAATTTTTCTGTCTATTTAAAGAGTGAAAGTAGAGGAAGTAAAATGCTTGATCCTGTGATATATAAAATATTTTGGGCAATGCTGATAGTCCCGGATCAGCCTGTGTCAATTGGCCAATATATATCCGAATAAAAGAAAAACAAGAAATAACATGCTTCAATGTCTTCCAAAAAGAGTCCAAACTGGTTAAAATTAATCAATATAAAATGTTCTAAATGCATTTGTTGCTATAAAATTTTTATTTTGTTATATTTTTATTTTTTATGGCAGGAATTCAAGTCAGGAAGTCAAGCTACACATGGATGACCAGCGAGCTTGCTAAACTCTACTTTGACTATGGAAGGATGAATACATACTATAAACGAGGACTTCCCTTTAAAGCTTCGGTGAGTATTAACATATCCAAGTAGTGGAATTGTTTAGGTTCCCTCTAAGCTATGACTTGTATTCCTTCTTATTGGTCACTCTCTGGCTGTTCTGGAGTCAGAGTTAAACCTGGCTTTTATAAAATATTGAGAATATTTATCTGTAATAGTGGATCGTGTTCATTAGAACTCCAGACTACATGGAGTATCACTGAAACAAAATATTATATTGTAATTAAATATAATATATCATTCATGTTGAGTCTCTTTTAAGGTGGTATTAACAGATGAAAAAAACAATCCCATGCAAGGTGAAAAGATCGAACTGGAAATAAATAGAAACATCATTCAGAATGTAACAACAAATGCAGACGGCAGAGCAACATATGAGATTGATACATCCAACTTTGTAGAGGACAACTTTACTATTAAGGTTAGTATCAAGGCCTATTGGAAAGATGCAGGGCCGGATTAACATAGGGCTGATGGAGCTGCAGCTCCAGGCCCATGCCCATTAAATATGGCCATTGACTAAATATATATATATATAGTTTATTTTTTTACACACTACTCTTAGGGTTTCCACCTGGCTTTTTTTTTAATGGCACAGACAGTATTTGAGGCTGCCTGACCGGTGCCAATATTGCAGTCATACTGGCAATACAAATGATGGTATTTTTCACAGTAAAAACAGATTACAGTGCAGTACCAGCACTGGCCAGTCGCTTCGTGTGTGGAGAAAGGCAGGGATTTTCCAATCCCTGCCTTTCTCCACACACGCAGCGACTAGCATATCCCTCCCTGCCTATCTCTAATCACCGATCTGCAGGGGATCAGCTACAGAGAGCCTACACAGCAACTCCCACCCAGCAGAGACATCCTACAGCTCAGGGAAGTGAGGCATGGGGGAAAGGCTGCAAGGAGATATGGGGGCACTGGGAGATATGGGAACATTGAGACATTGGGAGACATTATGACACAGACACGTAGGGACACTGAGAAACTTGGGGACACTGGGAGATATGGGGACACTGAGACACTAAGGGACATTTGGAAAAATTATGACAGAGACACTTGGGGACACTGAGACACTAGGGACACAGTGTCCCCATGTCTCCCAGCCAGTGTCTCAGTGTCCCCATGTCTTTTAAGTGCCTCTTAGTTTCCCAGTGTCCCCTAGTCTCCCAGTGTCTCCCTAGCCCCAGCCAGTGTCCCTATTGTATGTGTCCCTGGTGTCTTAGTGTCTCCATGTCTTCAAGTGCCCCCTAGTCTCCCACTGTCCCCATGTGTCCCAGCCAATGTCCCCTATTCTATCAGTGTCCCCGGTGTCTCAGTGTCCCACTGTCATCATGTCTCCCAGTATTACCATCTCTCCCAGTGTTCCCTGTCTCAGTTTCCCCATGTCTTCCTAGTGTCCTAGTGACATGGGGACCCTGGGAGACATGGAGATACATATGCTACGGGACACTGGGAGACACGGTGACATAGACACTAGGGGACACTGAGAGACATGGAAATACTGGGGACACTGGGTGACATGTTGACACAAGAGGACACTGGGAGACATTGGGCATTGAGACACTGTGATACACAAGGACATTCTGATACATAGGGCCACTGGGAGACCTGGAGACACGACACTAGGGGATACTGGGACATGGGGACACTGAGAGACTAGGGGACACTGGGAGACATGGCGCACTGAAACACTGTGATACATAGGGACACTGTGAGATCTGGGGTAATCAACACATGGGGACACTGAGACATGAGGGCACTGGGAGACATGGGGGCACTGGGAGACTATAGGAGACTGATACACTCTAAGCTATAACATGGAGACACTGAGACAGTGGGAGACTTACGACACTTGGGGCCAAGGAGACACCAGGAGCAATCCACCTATACAGCAGAATCAAACTAAGTAGCTTTTTGGTGATTTTACAGCATTTTTTCGTATGTCACTCCTTGTGATTTACATCATGTCTCCCATACATAATAAATTATGCAAATTAGTAAGGCCGGTATGTTTTTTCTAGAAAGGTGGCAACCCTAAAACTTTCCACATACTCTTGCTTAAGTATGGAAATTTAAGAGGGATGTATGGGAACAAAACTTGTGTGGAGTGGCTGACAATAAAATTAGTTAAAGGATCACTATAGTCAACAGATAAAAGCAAGAAAGACAGGTCCCCCAGACTTCTTTCTTTCTTTTATATGAACTTCCTCTTATAAAAAAATAATTTTAGAGTCTTTTTTAGCAAATAAACTTACCTCGGTTCTAGCACAGAGATCCCCGTTAGGCCACACCCCCTTTTTCATCAAAATGACAAAAAAATCGCAGGGCTCAATCAAGCGCTTCTCTCAGAGAAGTGTCATCGTGATTTGGTGCGCATGCGCGGCTTCGCGCTGCACCAACCACGTTCATAATAGAGCAGCATTGAATGCCGCTCTATGAATGAACTCAGAGCCTCTACCGTTCATTTATGGTATGCGCATTTGCAGACTGAGCTGACTGACAACTCAGCTCGCTGTCTATTTAGAAATAAAAACTGGATAAGCACAACGCGTTTCGACGTTTCGGCGTTTAGAAGGCTATACTTCAAAATCCATAATCATTAGTCCAAATACACCTCATAATAAAGGAAGCAGAAGGGGGGTGGGGTGGAAAGGGATGGGTAAAAATATATTAATACATACTTATGCAAAACAAATTAAATTTAATTTCCTAAAATAAAAATATAAATAGAACACTGATAAAACGAATCAAAAATGAGTAAAAAAAAAAAGAAATTGTAAAAGAGAGAAATCTTTCACCATGCTCAGCTAAAAATACACAATAAAAAATGTATAATACATAACATATAATATATAATTGTAGAAAGCTAAAAAAAAACTGGAAAAAAGAGCACAAATTTAATTATAAAATAGGACCAATATCAAAATCTAAATTTAACCCCTTAGGATACAATGTCTGTAAATCAAAAATCCAAGCACTTTCTTTTCTACTCAGGTTAAGGGCATTATCCCCACCTCTCCAATTATTTACAACTTTTTGGATAGCCATAAACTCCAACTCTTCAGGGTTAGATTGATGCACTTCTGAAAAATGTTTAGAAACACTATGGTTTGGAAAACCTTTTCTTATATTTCTAATATGCTCATTTATGAGGATTTTTAAGGATCTTGAAGTTTTTCCTATTTACTGCAAACCGCATTTACAATTTAAAAGATAAATAACATTTTTTGAATCACAGGAGATAAAAGAGGATACGGAATATTGTTTATTAGTTATAGATGATATAAACATATCTTTCATTTTCTTATTAACAGAAGTGCTCTTACAGACATTACAACACCCACAATGAAAAAAACCTTTTTGTGTTCTAGACCAATCATCTAAAAATGTAGATTTTTCTTTTTCACGTACATGATTAGATGTAAGAATTTGTTTCAGATTCCTGGCACCCCTAAAAATAAACTTAGGTTTATCTCCCAAACCTAAGTTTATTTTTAATAGCTTTGGGTGTATTCCATATGGTCCCATTGACTTATTTGTCTTTACGTTTGACAGTTGAAATACAACCTCTTCCTCTGTAAACTCACGTGTAATAAATGACTCATTTATCCTTTTTCTCAACTCAGGTCCCTTTCCTTCATTTTCATCTGTAAATACAGAACAAAAATATTCATTGAGGCAGTCAGCTAGACCTTTATCCTCTTCTACATACCTTCCTTCTTTTGTTTTTAATCTAACTAATCCTTGTTTTACTTTTCTTTTTGTAACGGACCGTTTTGCACATAAGGGGTAAAAACCGTTTAGAGATGCAGGCACAGCTACTGCAGAACACCAATCCGCCAAACAGGAAACCATATGAATGCTGTAAACAGCCGAATAGGAAAAACCATACGAATAGGTTTACACTCCTAGCAGTCGAACTGGAACAGCATACAATAAATCCCCCAAGAACGAGACAAAGCTCCGTGTCGAGGGTCAAGCAGTGAACAGGCAGAGCTGTGGGTTTATTGTGCTTATGTACACATTCTTACACATTAGTACCACCCACAGGGTTTTGGAACACAACCAATAAACACATACAATACACTCAGACACTCCCACACAAATTCCTCCCCTCTGCATGTGATTCAATTACCTTACACAATGGGTAATGTAATTTAGCACAAGCAAAGACATACAATTTTTCCACATTATTCATAACTTGAAAAGTATGCATTACATTCACATAAAACTTACATTTTCAGAATCAGCATACTCCAAATACAAACATACGTCACAATCATACAAATTGGTCCAGTGGTTCAAAAGATAGATCATAGTCCTTTGTGACCACAGGAAGCATGGCTTTTCTGCCCAAAACCAGTTCCACAGAGTCTTCTATCCTGGAGATAATTAGAAGTAATCCAATTATCTCCAAAGACAGAGGTAAAACTCCATTGAACACATGGCAGCAAAAAGACAGTAAAATACAATAAAATACACAAGGTTACATTTATGATATAAAATACAGACATGCAACATATGCCCAGATAGCTTAGGTCTGAGCGCACATTATTACTGAATGGCGCTCAGAGCACACACATACAGTTCAATTGCCATGGAGCCAAAGTCTTTCCCATAGTCTTTCATTATACGAATGGGCTCCATGGCATAGCTATCTGGGGTATCACTGCTCAAACAGGGCAAGCACCAAATGATCCGGCTTTCTTGTCTTTGTCTTTAATTAACATGGGGCCATAATCCAAAGGCAACAGACGAGCAACCAGGCTTCTCCAATGCAATGTGGCGAGATTGCTCTCGTCACACTTTTCTCATTTATGTATCTAAAAAATGTTTTATCCCCCTTTTTTACTGACTGTGCTATTTTCTCTTCTGTGTGTGATTTGGAAGCACTTATAACTTGCTTAGCCTCTTTCTGCCTAATCTTATAGATCATTTTGTCTCCCTCACTCTGGGTTTTTTTATAATTCCTAAATGCTAACTTTTTGTTTTTAACTATTTTGGCTACATCTGCGGAGTACCACAGTGGTTTCTTGAATTTTTTGCTTTTACTGACAAGCCTAATGTAATTTTCTGTTGCCTTCAATAGTGCAACTTTTAAATAATCCCATTTTTCTTGGACTCCATTTAAATTGCTCCAGTCTGATAATGACTCCTCTACCCATATTCTAATTTTAGAAAAGTCTGTTTTTCTAAAGTCTAAAACTTTTGTTTTTGTGTGGTGTAACTCAGTCTCTGTTCTTATATTAAACCACACTGACTGATGATCACTATATCCTAAACTTTCACCTACAGTAATATCTGATACCAAATATCCATTTGTTAACACTAAATCTAGTATGGCCTCTTTACGAGTTGGCTCCTCAACAACTTTTTTTTAGAGACAATCCCAGTAGGGAGTTTAGAATATGTGTGCTCCTGGCACAAGTAGCTAATTTTGTTTTCCAATTTACATCAGGAAGATTAAAGTCACCCATGATGATAACTTCCCCCTTCATTGTCATTTTAGCTATTTCCTCAACTAGTAGATTATCTAACTCTTCAATTTGTCCTGGGGGCCTATAAATCACACCTACACGAGTTACTGTGTGATTACCAAATTCTAACGTAGCCCAACGGACTCTATGTTTGCCTCACTAACTTTTATTAAGCTAGATTTTATGCTATCCTTCACATACAAGGCCACCCCTCCCCCTTTCTTGCCTTCCCTGTCTTTCCTATATAAAGAGTACCCTGGTATTCCTATGTCCCAGTCATTTTTCTCATTATACCATGTCTCAGTAACAGCGACTAAATCTACACTATCAGTTGCCATTATTGCCACAAGTTCATGGATCTTATTCTCTAAACTGCGAGCATTTGTAGACATGACTCTAAGCTTATCATTTTTTAACACACTTGCTACAGGCACCTTCTGTCCTTGTTTTGGGGGACAATTGGATTGATGTTTTATCACCCTTTGCCCTCCTAGTTTAAATACATCCTAGCAAAACCTCTGAACTGCTCACTGAGAACATTTGTTCCCTTTTGAGAAAGATGCAAACCTATTTTTGTACAGCTTATCTGCAATCCAAACAGAGCTACCATGAGAAATAAAGCCAAATCCTTGCTCCCGACACCATTCACCAAGCCACAAATTAAAGTCCCTAATACGCATCCGCCTGTCGTTCTGAGTGTTATGCACAGGCAGAACTTGACAGTGTGGAAGCAACCTGCCGTATATCATTGGCAAAAACACTAAAAACTTCCTTAACCTCTGAAACCTCATTGCAAGCCAAGTCATTTGTCCCTAGATGGACAAGTACATCCAATTCCCCTTCCTGATTTGCTTGCTTAACAATATTGCTCTGTGAGCAGTAGCTCTGGGAAGACACCTCACAAGACCACTATTGTCCATCTCCACACCTCTTATAATGGAATCCCCCAACAACAACTGCTTTCTGTTAGGCCTCACCATAGTCTCCAAGCCAGTCTCCACAACACCACTAGCCTCAGTGCCTCTCTCCACAACACCACTAGCCTCAGTGCCTATCTCCACAACACCACTAGCCTCAGTGCCTCTCTCCACAACACCACTAGCCTCATTGCCTCTCTCCACAATACCACTAGCCTCAGTGCCTCTCTCCAAAATGCCACTAGCCTCAGTGCCTCTCTACAACACCATTAGGCTCAGTGCCTCTCTCCACAATACCACTAGCCTCTGTGCCACTCTCCACAACACCACTAGCCTCAGTGCCTCTCTCCACAACACCATTACACTCTGAAAGTGCAGAAAATGAATTATGAAGAGTAACAGACTGTGCAAAATGCCTTTTATCCACAACTCTAAGTCTACCAGATCCTACAGTAATCCATCTGCCATTCCTAGTATGTCTCTGCGGCAGTGGCTTTGCAGCAGTTCCAGTCTGAGTTTGTTCACCAGATAATTTACAAATCTCAGACTTCAAAAATACAATCTCCTGCCGCAAGATAGAGAACTGTCTACAGATTAGACAACAACCAAACCTCCAAAACGTGGAACGTCAAACAAATGCATAGCAACTATTACACTGAACTAAGTCTGCCATTCCAATGAGGAGAATAATTTAAATCAAACAAATCTTAACTTTGTATTTATCCTCCTTGTGACGAAGTGCCCTTCGCCACTTGGTCCTGGAGAGGCCTACTTGCCAGCCTCCTCCCCTGTGACTATGACTCTTTCATCTATCTGGCTTTAAAGCCCCTAGTCTACCTTCAGACAGACTATTTATGTGGGCTGCTTTATTTATCCTATGTTTTAGTCACCCTGTACCCATGATAGGTGCAGGGTGTGTGTAATGTAATTGTTTATAGTGTGTGTGTACTGTGAAATGTATTGCCTTCTCTCCTGTACTGCTGAGGTTTGCTACCAACTAGGTGGGTTTGGCTATGGAGCTGGTCTAGTGCCCTCTGTTGGTAGCAACAGCAATATGCACTACCTGAATTGCAAGACTGGTTCATTTGCATATTCGGGTAGATTTGCATATTGCTAATTCTGCAGGCAGGTGAGATATTTACTGTTAAATATTGTCTCCCCCCACCCCTTTAAAAATGTGCCATTGTGTTGTGATAAGTCACTGTGTGTTTCTTGATATGGTTTGACTGTTTGTGATTTTATTGAGGTTTCACAACAATGTTATTGTGGTGACTGTATTGGCTGGTCCCAAGGGAATAAAGGTTTTGACAGTTCTTCTTGATCCCTCTAAATGTAGCCTTGTCTCGTTATTGGAGGGAGCTGCTATAATCACACTGGGGATTGCTATGCTCTGCATACTCCCTTGAGCTTTAAATCACCTAGCTCTTCTAAGAGCTGTTCCTGACACGCTCTCCTTGGAGGAGGGGTCTTCACCACACAGTCCTGGATGCTGGAGGTTCATACAGGGTGGAAGGAAGAGTTCTTTCCCACACAGTCCTGGAGGACAGAAGCTGATCCAGAGTGGAAGGAAGACGGCGAGACTCCAGTCAAGATACGGCGGTTGTGGAGTCTGCGGTGGTTGTGGTGTCTGCTGCAGTGCTTGGAGTCCTCAGGAAGCGCTAGGAGCAGCCGTCAACGGAGGGTACTCGGTCGGAGTACAAGGAGCTCCGTTACACTCCTGAATACCTCAGATTACCTCCAGTTTATCCCCAGAATATCTCCAACTACACACTTAGAAACAGCACTTAGAAGTAGCAACCAAACTATATTAGCCAAGCTAATGACAACAGCCCTTATATAACTCCTAAAATCACCACCCACTCGGAATGTGTAGGCCTCTGCTTATTTGCAAACAATAGCTTATTTAAACAGCAATCAATAGCAAGTAATCTAATCAAATGCCTTATAATTACCAACAGGAATTAAAACCTTGTGCAA